CGTGGTGGCCTCCATCTAGGAGCTCCCTGAAGGGCTGTGTGTGTGTGGGGGGGGATGACCTACGTGGGGAGAGACAGCCTCCTTACCCCCTCCCTTTCCGAAGGGAGGTTTTCTCTCTCCCCCACGCCCTTTCTCCGACCCCAAGGCCGCCTTAACAGAGCTCCTCCCCCGTGGAGCCTGGTGAACAGGAAGAGGCCCCATCCGTCCAGAACCTCCGAGAAGAGCAGACTATAGGGATCCTGGCTCCCTGCTTTCGGGAAAGTTACTGCTGACAACCAGGAGCCCATCAGGCAGTGATCCCTTGCCCGGGTGAGGGAGGAGGTCAGGGGAACTTGGCAGGCGCACTGTTCCGCAGCCCTCCCTCCACGGTCACGGTCACTGCGAGAGGAAATGAGGAGGAGAGAGGCCAGGGACGACGGACCCCGTCCACAAAGCGGGCGCAACAGGTGCAGCGCGGACAGGAGACGCAAGCTGTGTAATTAAGGCCTCCAGACACCTGTTGGGAGCTCACCCATTCACACCCCTAGCAGGTGGTTCACACCTCTGAGTACAAAATCACCAAAAAGCGGGGGGATAAAAAAGAGGCTCAGATGAAAAGCTCTCTTCACCTGTAGCCCGTAGCCGCTGCCCCAGCTCACCTGAGGCAGCACTTCCGCCAGCAGCTCCCACCCAACATCCCTGGCCCTTGGGGACAGTTTCAAGGGGGTAGGAGGGGCTCCAAAGTGAGGGAGACCAGGGGGTGCCCCTGCAGAGCTGTGTGGCCCTGGGCAAACTCCCTAACCTCTCTGTGCCTCACATACCCTTTCCCTCAGGATTCCAACGAGAAAGGCTTGGCGCAGTTGGACCTGTGCGCTTAGCAAACGCTCACCTATGTGCTTAGCAAACATTTATTGAGCACCCTCTATGTACCAGGGACCCGTAGACACAGCAGCGACCAGAGTGTCCAAGATTACAGTCTGGGGTGGGGGAAAGGGACACTGAACACCCACACGGGGCCACACGGGTCACGTGCTCCCAAAGCCAGCCGTGTTTATACGACCTTCTTCCCAGAGGATCACTGCCTTCCAGAACCCACGCTCAAACCAAGGCCGCCCATTGGGTACAGAAGAAACGGGCGAGCCAAGGTCCTGCTAGAAACAGCCCCTGTTCCTCTCTGGGCCCCAGGAGACGGGTCCAAGAGCTGCAGCACACCGGGCCACAGTGAAGATGCACCGATGACATGGGAGCCTGAGATGTGGCCGGCCCAGTGCCCCACGCCTCCTGGTGCTGAGAGCATCACCACCTCGTTCTCCAGGGTGGTGCTAACTCGGGGCCATCGCTTGAAACTCCCCGGGTGAGCCGGAGGCCGCGTTCACCCCCGCTCTGGCTGTGGGGTGAGGAGTCTGGTCCCTGCGTGCCAGCACATGCTTGCACGGTCTGGAGGATCCCCATTTGTCTTCCGTGTGTCCCTTACGGAGTAGAGAGGCCAGTGTCCGTCCCCCAGTACTGACTCTCTCTGGCCCAGGGCCAGCTGGAGGGGGAGAGGATCACCAGGCAGGAAGGCAGACTCAGGGAAAGGAGGCGAACCAGTAAGAAAATGCCACAGGGGACCGACCGTCAAGGGTCTGTAGTGCCATCGAAGACATCAGCTCTGTCGAGAGTCAGACCGGCCCTGGGTTCAAAGCCTGGCATCCCCAGTTTCGTGCTATTTGACAACCGGCGCTAATGTTTATTAACCACCTACTCCGTCCCAGGCCCTGTATTACGCTCTCCATAAGCAGATGCTCATTTAACCCTTCCAACAGCCCACGAGGCGGTCACGTGGTGCCGGAGCTGCTGGGTGCCGGTGGGGCTGGCAGATGGCCCAGTGGCGGGATCTGGAGCCGGGGAGCCCATTTCCTCCCTGGGAAACGGAGGCAACACCACTCCGCGGGGCCGTTGTGGGAAACGGACCTGTAATAATGCAGAGCCTGGCACAGAGGTCGGGCTCGGAAACTATACTTCACGGTAACAAACATGTTCTTGCCGTAGCGTCGTCATAAATTACCCCAAATGCTATCAGCAGGGCTGCTGTCACCTGGTGCCAGGGGAAGCGGAGGCCCAAAAAGGTGGCAGGGGGGACACTGCTGTGTCCACTCTGACTTTTCTGAAGGGCCAGCCACGAACCGTCCCAGATGATGATCCCATAGGGATCCGGATCCGCAGTGCCTCAGGGTACTGGATTCAAGGGGCTGCGGGGTGGTGGTGGGGGGGAACTCCCTGCACAGCTGGGGGCCCCCAGGAAGGGCATGGGCAGGTGCTGCCCCAGGGTCACATGCAGGGCCCTGGGAGAGTGGGCAAGCTACCGCCCCCCAGCAGGTGCGCTTGAGAACATGACCGTGCTTTCCCGCGGCCCTACGCTCACTCCCGCGTGCCACAGGAGCATCACTGTCCAACTGCTGCCGTCGCTTTGCTCCCTGGTCCTCCCCAGTGAACTCCTCGGGGGGAGGCGGCCGTCTCTCCTGAACCAGCTGCCGGCCCGACACCTAGGCCCGGGGCTGGTGCGAACGACACATTCGCGGGACAATGGTGCCACCGCCGTGATCTAGGGGGCAGTGTCCTTCTGGACCCGGGAGGAGGACGACAGACAGGCTGCAGAGAGCAGCGGTTCCGAGCCACGGCTCTGGGTCAGACTGCTGAAATCCCAGCCCTGGCTCAGCTGCAGGTTCTGAGCAGGACGCTTTATCTGCCCAGGTCTCCAGCATCCTTCCGGGTGCAAAACAGGTAACAAACAGCCTCCCTCCTCCACACGGCGGTTACGCAGCTTAAAGGAGACGCTGCACGGGGCAGACGCGCAGCTGGGGCCCAACACACGGCGAGGGCCCCATCGGAGCGAGCTGGGATTCTGGATCGCACCCGGCAGGACAAGCCCGCAAAACCCGCCTGCAAAATGGACCAGACTGGTTCCCCTAAAGCCCCGAAATCCTCCCCTGGCTCTGACCCTTGCCGGCCGCTGGCTTTGTCTTGAAATCGGGTCTGTGGTTTCCAGGACGAGCGGAGTCCCCCCGAGAAGGCTCACAGCGCCCCCTGCCGCCCGCCACCGGGAACGGCCTCAACCCCCCAGCCCCAGAGCACAACAAAGCAAGGTGAGAGCCCTCCGCGGTGGCTTTCCGTTTCCAAGGGCTGGCGAAAGCTACCATTGGAACAATGGCAGGGGGAAGAGACACCGCGCATAATTACGTTCCGTGGACGCTAATTCCCTGTCTCCGCAAAATAAATATAAAACGAGAGATCAAACAAAGCGCTCTTCCCTTTCCGAGCGGATCTTTTGTTTCCCTGGGTAAGTGTCACCCCAAACAGGCTGCGGCACCAAGTGGAACTGTCATTTCGGCGGGATGCTATTTCCTGATCAACACGTGCTGTCTGCGGCAATCCTGTTTTGATCTGGCAGGTCTTAAATTGGACTCTCTTTCACAAGCAGGAGCCCGTTAAAACGAGCGGCGTGCGAGGCTGAGGATGCGTACTCCTCTCCCTGGGTGCAGGGAAATGGAAAACGTCCCCCCAGGTCGTGACCCCACCTCACCAGGCTGTTACTGCCACGCAGGGGACCTGGGATCACAGCTAAGACCCCACTCGTCCGAAACGGCGTCTGCACCAGAGCCAACAAAACCACGTCTGTTAACGAACAGCACGTTCAGCATACAATTTAGAACGGAGGTGAGGAGGGCGGAGGCGAGAAGGAGTTTTGAGACAAATCCCGTAAATGGTTCCCTACTCTTTAAATCGGGTGAGAGGGCGAAGAGGTAGATTCACACAAAGGTACTTCTGTCTAGTCCCCCAAATATGGGATTTATATTTTGCATCCACAGTTGACTTCAGTGAGGTGATCTAATCAGTAAGATGCCAACTGATAATTCAAACAGGGACATAGCTCTCTGGGTCCTGCAGGCCCGGGAGCCCCCGGCGATCTGGTCCACCTGCCGTTACACTCCGAGGGCGAGACTGTCTCTCCCTGGGCCACCCAGCATCCCACACCCGGGGAGGGTCTTGGCTTTAAACGTCTTCCTGTTACGCCCGTTCGTAAAGATGTTTGATCCAGGGCTTGCTTCTAGATGGTACCTAACTAATCTGCAAGGCCGAACGGTGTAACGCGTTAGCACGGGGGTTGCAAAGTGGTGGCCCTTGGGCTCCGTCTGGCCACAGCCAGACTTTGTCCTGCACTGTTTGTATTTTAGAAAGTAAATTAGTTGCCAGCTTACTCCCCCTAAAAATCTGGAATGCCGGTTTTTCTTTCAAAACATAGGGAAACTGGTCTGATTCAATCTGCCTTCCTGCACAAGCATCGCCACTGGCCTTCCTGCTGTCAGTACCTTGCCCCCCGCCTGTCCTTCCAGGTCCCAGTGCCTAGCGTTTCTGACCCTATGCTGGCATCTGTTGCCGGACTGCACTATTTATTCAGGGGATTCATCCATATTTCAAAACAGTCTCTCTCCGTAGACAGCAACGTAGACAGTGGTGCCCAACTCTGGGTGGACAGTAGAATCCCCAGTGGAGCTTTGATCACAACACCAATGTCTGGGCCCCACCCCCGACCAACAGAATCCAACTTCACGGGGGCAGGGCCTGAGCAAAGGTATGTTTATGAAAGTCACCGGGTGACTCGAAAACACCACCGGGGTGGAGAGCCGCTGGCTAAACCCAGAGGAATGACTTGGCCGGAAGAGTTTCAGACAGATGCTGAGCCTCGGCCACCAGGGCCCCCGCCCCATCCTGCTGCGGGTGGGGACAGAGAACACCAGCCGCCCTCTCTTTCTGTCTCACCTCTGGAGGAGGAGGCCTGGCTGTTTCGAGTTTTCTCTGCATAGTGCTCACGGCGCATGAGTTCAAGAGAGATAAATCAAAGGCGGCCAAAAGATGACCTTTGAAAGACCACCGGGCCGGCCTGCGGTGGAGCCATCAAGGACCCGAAGGCCACCTGCCAAGGCTCCAGCAGGCTCCCCCCCACCACGTGCCAACCGGTGGACAGAAGGAGAGCTGCTCACCTGAAGAGCTCTCGGATCTCCCGGCTGTCGGCCTGGAAGGGGATGTTGCGCACCAGGATCTTTGAGGTCGTCTGCTTTCTGGGCACTTGTTTCTTCCGAGCGGACATCAGAGCTGGCCTAGACGATTAGGGGAGAAGGTTCGAGTTATCTGGGGTGTGGGCAGCTGCTGGCCTACGCTAACCCCCTCACCCTCCCTCCAAGAGCTGATGTTCTTGGCAGGTGAGAGATTCCAGGAGTTGGGGTGGATGAGGCAGAGATGAAAAGGGGGAAGGCGGTCTCCCCTGGGTGATTCGGAGCACAGCCATCTTCCTCTCAAGATGGCGGTGGACACCCGGTCAGCACACCCGCCCTTGGGTCTCTCCTGCCCGTCGTCTGAGAGACGCGGGGGCTATCAGGGACTGGCGAGAGGAACCCTGAGAAGGGTGAGGCCAGCTCCTCACCCCATCCGGTCTCTACTGTCTCCTTCCAGATGTGGAAAGACCCCGGATGGCCCAAAGGTCTTACGTGAGACTTTCCAGTACACGCCCCAAGAGCCTCGCCCACAGGCCTGGAGCAGTTGCTAGCCCTGAAGACGGGCCAGGGGTGGGAGCAGAAGCTCATCCCGGGGCGCAAGGCCATCTCTAATGCCCTCCCACTTCACCTGTGCCCCTGCTCGCCCTGGGCAACCTGCCACTGCGTCAAAGCGACGCGGGGTCGTGAGTGGGGAGTGAACGATCAGGGTGTGGAAGCCAAGTGGGTTGCATAGGAGCTGAGTGATCTTGGGCAGGTAATTTGGCTTCTCTGGGCCTCAGCCTCCTCAAGTGCAGAATGGGCCTAAAAAGAGTGCCGGCCTCGTCATACCGTTTGAGGGCCTGTCAGACACTGCGTGGTGCCCCCCATGTGCCAAACATTCAATAAATGGCAGCTGTTGTCATAAAGACGACCGTGTTGCCTCACTTCTCTCAGATCTGCTTCACGTCACCTCCTCGAAGGCCCTCCCTAGGTATCCCCATTAAAGCAGCAACACCCCCCTCCCCCACCCCCAGTTTTGCTTTCCTTTCTGGCACTCACCACCACCTGACCGCGTATTACATATCGTTCATGTTTCCCTTTACTGTGCTGTCCAATATGGTAGCCTCAAACCACATACGGCCGGTTAAGTCTACGTTAAAGCAACAAAATTCAAAACTCAACTCTCCAGTTGCTGGGATAGCCAGCCTCCAAGATGGTCCCCAGAGATCCCTGCCTCTCGGTATTCACGCCCTTGGGCAGTCCCCTCCCGTGCTCCATCAGGCAGGTCTGCGTGACCAGTAGAAGACCGAAGCAATGGTGACTTCTGAGACCAGGTCATAAACGACACTGCCGCTTCCTTCCTGCTGTCCTTTGGATCACTCGCTCAGTGGAAAATGGGCTGTGGTGCTGTAAAGACCCTCATGCAATCCCAGGGAGAGGCCAGCGTGGTGAGGAACTGAGGTCTCCTGCCCACAGCCATGTGCGGGCGCCATTTTGGAAGCGGATCCTTTAGCCCCAGAGGAGCCTTCAGATGAGACTGCAGCCCTGACCAACAAAACCTCCTGAGAGACCTGGAGACAGAAGTACCCAGCTAAACTGTTCCCAAGTTCCTGACTTCGGAAACGGTGAAATAATAGGTGTTTGCTGTTTTAAGCTGTTTGGGATACTCTGTTACACAGCAACAGATGACTAACACAACTGTACTCCCCACCTTTACGTGTTCAAATGCCACATGAGCAAGTGGCTGCCACATTGGACAGCACAGATGTGGAACATGATCGAAGAATCCCACTATTGTAGAAGGTTCTATCAATTACGCTGCCCTAGACCGTGAACACCACCAGGAAACCCCATTCCTGGCACCTGGGCAGAGTATCTGGCACACAGTGGGCTTTCCGTAATTTGTTTGTTGAATAAAAGGATGACTAAATCAACACTGGCGAGGGACTGAAGGCCCGTGAGGTGACTTTAGCTTGACTCCTTCGAGACAGGGAACGGAAAAGACAGACTGCCACTGTTGGCTGAGTACTCATGTGCAAAGCATGTTCTAGAGGCTTCATGCACAACCTCTAGTTAGCACATACTAATTCACAGGCAAAGTCAGCCACCCAAGGTCACACAGCTCCTAGACTGGAACCCGAGGCCGTGGGGCTCAATGCCTGGTGCTCACTGTTCCATCCCAGCTCAGGAGCCCTTCCCGTACCGGGCCTGCTCCCCGAGGATGCTCCCACGGCACAGACCGGGTGGGCGCACAATACCAGAGGTGGCTGAGGGCTGGATTCCCAAGTAGCATTGAAAACAGAAAGAAGGAAGAAAAAGCAGCATCTGCTCAACGACCACAACAAATGCCCAACTTGCTGAAAACTACCAAAGAGAGATCTTAAACCAGCCCTAGGACTGTTAGAGGCGGTTACTTCATCGCCCGGGGCTGGTAGACGATCATTGACAATGACAATAAAAACAACACTCGCGCTGGGCACGTCACGTGCTGGGCACTGTTTGGGGCACCTCAGGCCTATCGGCTCATTTACACATGCAAGCGGGTAGAAGCGTAGGCACAAAACTAAATCTTACGGGGCGCCTGGGCGGCTCAGTCAGTTAAGTGTCCGACTTTGGCTCAGGTCATGATCTCACGGGGCGTGGGTTTGAGCCCCACCTTGGGCTCTGTGCTGTCAGCCTGTCGGCGCAGAGCCTGCTTCAGAGCCTCCGTGCCCCCTTTTCTCTGCCCTTCTCCCGCTTGTGCTCTGCCCCCCCAAAAATATTTTTTAAAAAACCCCAAAACTAAAACACTACTTCAGGAAACTGGTCACCGGGCAGATTGGTCAGTCTCCAACTCTTAACACTGACTGAATCTCTTTCAAATTAACTGGAGGCTGTCTCTGGGCTCCGGTGTCCAGCTCCAGGAAAGAAAGCCCTATAAAACTGGACATCAAGGTTTTATCGCTTCTCTGGCTCGTCCAGAGCACCAGCAACTGGCAATTCTTTGTTGGTTTATTTATAACACCAAGATGAGCAGAATGTGCTGGTTCCTCCCGCTCCTGCTCCTCGTATTACGACAAATGTGCGTTAAATATTTATTCAAAGGACTGGAGTGGTCCCAGTTCATCTCAGAAACGGGCCTCGGAGCTGGCAAATGGGACGTCACCTTAATCAGGAAGACGATACACCAGCCCCAGAGCAGAAAGGACCGGCAATGAAGACTCACTTCGTGGCTCGTTCCGAGATCCTCACTTCCAGCTTGTGGCCGTCCACGATGTGACCCTAAGAGATAAGACCACACAGCTTGTCACCCTGTCTCCCCAGCAACACTTGCCCACCCCGCTGCTCTCCAACAGAGCGGGCGTCAGCGGAGAGGGAAGGAAACTTCAGAGGGGGGACTATCCCCGGGCAGCGGGGCCAGCTGGAATCAAGGACAGAGAAGTGGCTCAGGCCGAGCCCAGACAGCAGCCGGTGGTCACACAGACCCAGCCTTCCAATGCCCTCTTGAGCCGTGCGTGGGCCTTGGCCTTTATGCCAATCAAGGGGCACCGAATTTTCCATCGTTTGTAAGCATTTTTAGGCAAAGCAAGCCCCTTTGGTCCGGCTTGCAGCAAGAGTTCAGGCTAGACTGTGTGCTTAAAAAAAAAAAAAATTCTAAACCGCAGAGGAGGTGTAGTGAAAGCTAGGCTCTCACGGGGGTCCCTTAAGGCAAAACTGGAGTATTAGCAAAATTACCCTCGACGATCCCTTACGTCTCCCATAAGATATAGCCCGGGTAGTTCTGTGTAAACGATTCTTTGTGGCAACGTGCACACATGTACGCACACAGGGAGGTACGGAACGCAACACGTGCAAGGTGGAGTTTGACAGAATCTTGCGTTACGTGGCAGAGAATGGACCACTGGACGTGCAGAGCCAATGCCAGCTAAATGCCTACGCGGCACCCGATGACAAAGTTGGACTGCCAGTGTCTCTTTGAAAAACAGCACACAAATCAAACGCCAGAGAGGCGCCCCACGAGGCGTAACTGGCTGAAGCTAAGAAGCGGCCGCCCTCTCGACAGGGCACGAGCGTCCAGCTTTTGCTCTGGGTGATGCTGCCCCCTCACGCCCTCACGCTGCCCACTGGCCCCCAAGGGTGTCTGGATATGCAGCCCTGGTAGACAGCAGAGCTTTCCAAGAGAGCGGAGGCCCCGGAGGCGTTACCTCCCCGTCATCCCACCCAAATCCAACTCGGCCCTTCGGGAAGCTGCCCTGAGCCAAGGGCAAGGTCATCAAAATCCTACAAAAACCATCAGATGAACTAAGCGCCCGGTTACATTTCCTATACCCCCCAGGGCCTCTCTCCTGTGCCAGAAGTTCTGCTGGGACAGGGCGGGGGCCCCCTGTGGGCGCCCTTCCCACCCTGAGAACAGCCCAGCCGTGCCTGGCCCAGGGGCACCTGCCAGAGAGAGAGCGAGAGCCGGGTAAGGTGAGCAGGCTCCCGTGCACGTGGCCCGATTCAGCTCTCCTTCACCTTCACGCCACCTGGCCTCAGGCCAGGCCCTCTTTGTCCGGTGCGCACAGACATAGGACATCCGGAATATGGCTTAAAAGGGTCCCTGGACCCCCTGAAGCTCTTCCAGGGACTTGGGTCTAGAAGCCTGACCTGCAGGCACGGTCAGGAGCGCTCGGCCTGCAGAACGAGGGGTCAGCAAAGACGGCAGGGAACGAGTGGGTCCGCATAAAGAAGGGAGGGCACTGCTCCCCGCCCGCAAAGCCACCAAAGGGCCTGGGATGTGCGGCATCGGGGAAGAGTGCGGAGGACGCGGTCTCGGGCAGAGGCCTGCCTCACGGGGGAGGAGCCCATCCCAGGCCGTGCCGCTCCCCGCAGTCCCAGCTCAGCTCCCTCCTGCTCCAGGCGCCTGATCTGATCCTGCACTTCGGGCCCCGCAGGAGGTCCCGTTCTGTGTGGAGTCCCTGCCCTAACACCTCAGAGTCTAGTCCCCTTGTCCTCATCTTCCCTGCCTCCGCCCGACCCAGGCCAACACCCTTTCCTGCCTGGACGACTCCGTGGTTTCTCACCTGCCCCACTGTCATCCACTCTCCGCACAGCAGCGGGAGAGACCGTCCAGAAGCATAAACCAGTCCCTTCCCCAAAGTGCTCCAAGCCTTCCGACAGAATCTCACTGCCTTTACACCGGACTCCACGGTCCTTAAAAGGCTGACAAGATCTGGGCCCACACACGGTCCACTCCAGCCACAATGGCCTCTTTCTGCCTCTCAAACATACTAAGCTCATACCTACCTCAGAGTCCCTGCCTCAGACCCTTTGCACATGCTGTGTATTCCTCCTAGACTGCTCCCCCTCTAGATCTTTGTGTAGCTGACTCCTTCTTGTCAATTAGCGATCAGCTCAATGGTCACATCCTCAGAGAGGCCTCCCTCACACGATGTAAAGTAACCCTCTCTGCCCATCACGATGCCTGCTTTATTTCCATCCAAGCACTTCTCGTGACCTGGTCTTGCGTATTTATTCAGAGATCCGCTCTGCCAGCCTCCCCCAGATCTGGCACAGAGCTGTGGATTCGCGAACGCACTACCACGACTACAGAGCGCTGAAGAAGATTCTTCATTTTTCTTGGGCCACAGTGCCCTGGAGAACTGGAGGAAGCGAGGGACCCAAGAAAATGTGGACTTACCCACATTCCCGCTAACTTCAGGAGTGTTGACAGGCCGGACCCCCACCCTCCACCCTCCCTGCCCCCGGACCCCCCCCCCCCACCACCACCTACCAAGCACCTCCATGGATCTCAGCTGAAATCCCCACCCTTACCTGGAGCTGCTTGAGAGCTTTCTGGGCCTGCTCCGGCTTCCTGTATTCCACGAACCCAAATCCCATGGAGAGCAGCTCTCCTAAAGGAGAGTCAGAAAGAGAGGTGAGGTGGGGGGAGCAGAAAGGCGAAGAAAGAGCGCGAACCCAAGGGCAGGGGCTCCGGCGGACCCCTAGACGTCCCCTCTTTGCTCCCTTCCTCATACCCCATTTCGTTCCCAAAAAGATTTTAGCTCCCGGTGTCCCGTTTATTACCAGTCATCTTGAAGAATCAGCCAACGAAGTTATATAGCCGTCACCTGAGGCCCAGCCGACTATTAATTAAGAGATGATTGGCATGATAATTAACTTCCTAACAGGATTCCGCCTTTGGGAGGGAGCAGGAACGAACAGGGATGACCATCGCTGTGACAAGCTGCACAGTCCCTACCTAGGCAGTCCCCTGCTTCCACACACAATGCACGCGACGGATACACGCATGAAAGTCAAAGGCACCAGAGGCTTAAGTCTTTACGGGTGTTTCTGACCATCCGACGACGGCTGGTCCTGGGCTTCAGATACCAAGTTCGGACAGGGAGAGCGGCTGAATTCTTTGAACCTAGCTGGTCCCCCACTTCTAGGTAGTGAGGCACAAGGGTTCAGAGAGCGAGGGAGAGCTCGAAAGCATCGGGGACGTTTGCTTCCTGACTTTAGATGCGTGCGCGTTACGTACCTATGTATCATGTGGGCGGCGGGGGGGGGGGGGGAGATTTTACAGGGCGTGTGTCTAATGACATCCTGCCCTATGTCACGGAATGGGACACGTGCCTCCTCCCCTGCATGTCATGCAGGTATATTCATTTTTTCACAGTGGAGCTCAGAGGACTGGCTCGAATTTGGCGGGTCCAGATGAGGATCGAGACTCGTCACCTTCGACCCACACAACAGTCCCTTCTTCGCATCTACCGTGTGGTTTGTGAGACCCGAGCCCCTCCCGGGGCACTGCTTGCCCGTGCTACCAAATGGGGCCCCCGTGCAGCAGGAAACCCCGTGCGTTGTCCAAACACGGCTCTGTGGGCCACAGAAGGGAGTCTCTGCCCGAGCGGGCTGTTGGCTGCCAGCCAGGGCCACCCTGTGGCAACCTCAGACACCGGAAAGCTCTTCCTGGCAGACTCCAGGCCGAGGGTGGTCTGTGGGGGTCTGTGCACACGGGATATTTGGAGGGCACGGAGGAGCATGTGAAAGGCAACTACAGACAGTCAAGTCTGTCACCCGATCCCTGACGCTGAGCGGACCCGCCCTCTGCCCGGCTCCTACCCTGGGAGCCTGACCTCCGCGGGCTGCACCACCTGGGCTCCCCGACCTTCTGGTTTCCTGTGGGGTGTAGCCAATGGGAAGCCCCGATCGGAGACTGGCAGGTGGAGAAGAAAAAGTTGGGGGCCCGGCTTCCTCGCACGCACCCCCCCCCCCCCCCCCCCGGGGGTGGGGGGGGGGGTGGGGGGGGGGTTCGGGTGGGGGGTGGCCCCCCCCCCCCCCCCCCCCCCCGCGGCGGCCCTTGGGGCTCACGGGCTTCTTCCGCTTGACGCTCCCCTCTGCCTCAACATCCCCCGTGGGTCCCTTCTGCTCGGCCCTCACCGTCGCATCTGGCCCTGTCCTTACGAATGTCTCCTCGACAACCTGCTGAGGGTGCTTTCCACGGCCTCCCGCGGCCCCCTCCCTGGCACACAGGCGGCCGGGTTCCCTCACGCGGTGAGGGACGGATGATGAGCCCCGTCGAGCAGGGCTCTCCAACACGGGCCCTTAAGCGCAGGTCGCGAGAGGTGCCCGCAACACGGACGGATCAGGTAACCATTTCCAACATACGCTCCACAGTGCTCCTGAGGGGCGAACGTGGAGGCGGGCTCCACCGTGGCTGACCGCGGAGAGTGGCACAGCGACACCGCGACCCACGGGCACAGCGGGGGGGGGGGGGGGGGGCGCAGCTCTCCCGGCCCCGCTCCCGGCCGGCCTGGAAGTCAGGGGTCGCCTCCTTTCCCGAAGCCGGGGCAAACCGAGCCTTCGTATCACTTACTTGGTGCTTAGCTGCCTTTCTTACGTCCCAGACTAGCCCTGCGGCCCCTGGGGAACAGGTTGCTACGGTCTGAACTGGGTCCCCCTCTCAATTCCTGTGTCGAAAGCCTCAGCCCCGGCATCTCAGAATGCGACCTTATTTGGAGAAAGGCTCTTTTACGGAGACGATCAAGCGAAAAATGCGGGCGTGAGGGCACCCAGCATGACTGGTGCCCTTTCAAAAGGGGAGGCATCTGGCCACAGGACAGGCTCGGGCAAAGGGAGCCCCCCCCGTGAGCATGAAGACCACCACCTACAAGCCGTGGGGGAAGGGCGCAGCAGGCTCTTGCCTCACGAGGAACCACGCCGCTGAAACCTCGACCTTGGACCTCTGGCCTCCAGAACCGTGGGACGGCAAACTCGTGTCGCTGCAGCCCCCCCGTCTGTGGCGCTCCGTGACAGCAGGCGGACACGAGCACCTCCCGAACGCCTGTGCCACGTGTCTGCTTCAAACCTTCCTGCCGAGGCTTGCCCCGGCAAGCCTCTTCTTTTTCCCCTTCTGGGGAAAAGCCCAGACGCCTCTGCAGGGCCCAAGAGCCATCCTGCGACCCGGGGCTGGCCTGCCTTTCTAAGGGCATCTCCTGTGTCTCCCTAAAGACGCACAGGGACAGTGCCCTGTGGCAGCAGCCCCTCCGGCCCCCTTCCTCTGTGCGCCTGCTCCGGCTGGCCACCGCCATCCCCACCCGCCAGCCTCACGCTGACGTGCTGACGCCAGTGCTGGGACCCGGCCCCTCGTCACCCTGCGCTGTGCCCCACTGGCTCATCTGTGTCTCAGGTCACGGCTCTGACGGACTCAGGTGGCGTCCCTGTAAATCTTGCCCGACGGGAGGGAGGGGACTGAACGGCCGGGCAAAAGGAAGGACGTGTGGCCTGTGTGTCACGCGCAGGGAGCCGGTGCCGGAGAAGGGACAAGCGGGGAGCAAGGGCCCGAGCCAACAGCTGAGGCGTAACGGGGAGATGAGGGTTGTCTGCAAGGCACAGACACCCACAGGCCGGGGCGGGGGGGAGCGTGGTCAATGGTCCACAGGGTCCACGTCTGGGCTGTTTCTTCTGGAAGCAAAGAGGGAAAGCCCAAGCCTGGTCTCCTTCCTGCTATTCTCTACAAAACTTCCGGAGCCCAGAGGTCCTGGGAGGAGGGAGAGGCTTCCGCTACTGGACAGTGGCAACCCTGGTGGCCCATCAAATGACATGAGACCACGGGCCAGTCCAAGGAGGCAAAGAGCCTGATGGGCACGGCTGCCCCCACGGGACGCTAGAGTCTCCCGGGACAGAGAAGGAGGGCCCATTTTAGGCGGGACGCTGGGAGTCTGAGGGGGGCAACACTTCGGACCAGAAGAGTGGGCGGTATCCCTGCCCCTCCACCCAAAGCGCCGGGTTCTTCTGGAATCATCCTTTCCAGATGCAGTTTCGTAAAGAATACCTGTTTTGTTCTTCTTCTTGGAAACAGAGCAGCTCTTCACCATTCCTACTCTGGAAAACACCTGGAAAGGAACGCCAACATGTATCAGCAGCACGTCCAGGCTAATCCTGCAACCAGTGCAGGCACGTCTCGAAAGACGGAGGCCATGTATGTGACCACGGGCCCCAAGAGGGCTGTGATTCCTGCCCGGCTTGTGCTTAAGGGGCAGACATTTACAGACTCTCTTAATCCAAGCGTCAGGCACTCGGATGATCTCGCTTGTCCCAAGCAGATCTCTAAAACAACTCCGCGGAAAGATTCTCCTGACATCCCCATTTTACAGAGAGGGAAACTGAGGCACAGATAGCCCAAAGGGCTTGCCAGGGTTGCGCCGTTAACACTGGGATCCACGTCCAGGCGTTCTGACCCGTAACTCGGGGCAACACGAGGGGAGCCCTGCGGGCTGCATACTGTTTCTGACAGCGCCTCCAATGGGCTGGTGGCCCTGGGACTGTGAACCGGCTGGAGCCCAGTCCTCGCATCTATCCAGGAGGAACCTGGACTGCATCGCCTTGGCCGGGACTCCCCGTTCCAGAAGTCCTCACTTCTTGAGGACGCGCCTAAGTCTGAAGCTTGGGTGCATCTTCTGGGGAAAATCGATTCCTGATGACAGTCCTGTCCTGGACCCGGGAGAGCCGGCAGACCAGGCACGAAACACAGACCGCAAGCCGCACTGCCCTATTTGCAGCGAGCGTCACGGCTGGTGCGTGCCTCTTCACAAAAGCAAACTCACACCGAACCACAACAGGTTCAGGAGCGGCCAGTGCAAAGCTCAAGGCTGGGTTTCTAGTTGCTCGGTCTGGTCAATCTTTGCCCTGGAGAGGCTGCTGTGTTAGCCCGGGGCCCTCTGCCGTGGCCACCCTTCTGCCTGGCAAGAGGATGGCCACATCACAGAGCCTTGGCCAGATGGCCTCGGAGAGGAGGCTCTGACCTCGTCTCCCCCAGAGAGGAGACGAGTTTCCCAGTCTTCCAGTTTCTCCCAGTTTCTCCCTCCAGATGCAGGCTGGCCTCCTTCCCACCCAGCAGCCAACTTCCCGCCTCTGGGACTCAGTGGAAACCTCTTGAATCTATCTGTGGAATCTCGGAAATCAAAATAACTTTTTTAAATCAGTTATTTTGGTACTTTTGGTGAAATTTTTTTTTTTTTTTTTTTTTTTCCCGGAATCAATCATAGTCACTGCTGATCATCACTGATTTATGCAGTTAAAAAAAAAAATGTGCCAAACCCAGGTCACAGAACCGGAGAGTCTTCCCGTAAGCGGTTCTCAGACCCGTGGGGGGAGCTTGCAGACCCCAACCTTTTGGAACTGGAGGCCCCACTTGCTTGTCTCTGGCCAATTCCTTCCGAAGGCCCCCCAACCCCATTCAGGGCAGGCCCCGCTTGGTGTTTCCCAAACACCTGCTTGGAGATGCCCATCTTTTCACCCTCTGCCTCCCTCCCAAGAATGCACAACCCACACCCCAACCAGGGGTTCCGGGCAGGACTGTCCCTCATTCATTCCTGTGTCTCCCGCATGCTCCCGTCAGGCAAGGAGGTGGTGCTAACGTTTGCCTTTGGGTAGTTAGCCCCCCCAGAGAAAACTGGGGCGGGAGTCTCTGTTTGCTGCATGCACAATGCTAGCACTGACGACACCCCCTTCCGTGTAGGGGGGTGTCCCTCCTGGCCCCTCGGCTGGTCTGGCCACTGCTCAGGTCCCCTGGTGAGGGGTCCACGGGACAGCCCCACAGGCACGTCAAGTGGCCGGCTGCTGGTTGTCCAACTCCGTACTAGCACGAGCCACGCGCACAGGCGGAATCAACCTGGGCGCCATGTCGGCGGACGGCCTCCCGGGCCCACGACCCCCACCCCGTTTGTAGCCATCACTCACTTCCTTCAGGGTCTCCTCGGTCGTGGCAAAGTTGAGATTTTTAATAAACAGGGTACACCCGGGGGTGCTCTCCTCCTCCTCCTCCTCCTCCTCCTCTTCTTCCTCTTTCGCTGGAGCGTCCTCAGCTCCTCTCTCTGTTGGCTTTTCACCTTCCGGGGTCTCGTTGTCTGGCACTGGGTCCCCGCGCCCCCCGCAAAAAACACAAATTCGTTAAATGTGAAATCCCTTAAATGTCTAAGCCCCGGGGCCGAAAGCACGGAACGTGCTAGATCAGAGGGGTTCTGCCTCTGGGCGGCTTCAGGAAGGGGCCCCGATTCCTAGCTTGCGCTGGGTTCCAGCAACTCTTAGGGGGCTGGGGGAAGACGGGGAAGGGGTGAGGCTGTCCTGCATCCTGCCTCTGGCGGGGCACTGGGATGGCTCGGCCAGTTGTGCGTCTGACTCTTGACTTCAGCTCGGGTCACGATCACATAGTTCATGAGTTCGAGCCCCGCGTCGGGCTCTGCTCTGCGCTGGCAGTGTGGAGCCTGCTTGGGATGCTCGCTCTCCCTCCCTCTGCCCTTTCCCCGTTTGCGCTCTCTCTCTCTCTTTCAAAACAGATACACTTAAATACAAATTTAAAAAAAAAGGACTACGAGACACAGACCAGAAGCCTGAGCCTTGGACTAAGCCGTGTCAATCTAAACTTCAAAATAAACTGTTGCGTGAGCTGTTTCACTGAACCACAAACCTCAAAACAAGACACAGCCGAGTTCTCAAGCTGAAACACGACTCAAAACTTCCGGAAAAATGACAGAATACAGAATGGGAGCAAAAGTTAGAACCCTCTAAATACCCCACGAACCTAAGAGATGTTACGTTCAATTAAAATTCCCAATATACAGAACTTCAGGGAGCCACATATATTGAGCACGCCTCATCTACTGCAACAAGACAAGTTCAGAGTTATACCCAGCATCGAAAAATTAAAAAAAAAAAAAAAAAAAAAGAGAGACACAAACTACTAAGTACTGATAAATAGGACCCTAGGAACAGTGCTACCACAGGCTGGGATGATACGTGCTCATTAAAAATAACGTTTGCTGGGGCGCCTGGGTGGCTCAGTCAGTTAAGCCTCCGACTTCAGCTCAGGTCATGATCTCACAGCTTGTGGGTTCGAGCCCCGCATCGGGCTCTGTGCTGACCGCTCAGGGCCTGGATCCTGCTTCCAACTCTGTGTCTCCCTCGCTCTCTGCCCCTCCCCCGCTCACGCTCTGTCTCTCTCTCTCTCCTTCAAAAATAAATAAACATTAAAAAAAAATTAAAAATAATAAAAAAAATGATGTTTGCAAAGAATGTGTAATGACACAGAACGATGCTTATGATATAAAAATTAAGAGAGAAATTAAGATATGAAACAGTAAACAGTCTAAGCCCAATCACGTTCTGTGCACACAATTTTGGGGCGCACACACAGGGAGGCGATGCTGGAAGGGGACACAGGATGTGCTCCGGGGTGTTTCTGGAGGCCGGGATCACAGAGGGCTATTGTTTCCGTCCCCCCAGCCCTCTCGCCACGCATACTCAGAAGGAACAGCATTTCAGGAAGAGGGAAGAGCAGACACGAGGTTGTGCATGAGCAGGCGGGTATGTGTGGCCGCAGCTCAGGGTCGCCCAGGGGTGACAGAAGCCTCGGAAGACTGCGAACAGCACTGTGACCTCTGAGAAGTCCTGCTATGAGGAAATGTGTCCGGGTCGGTCCAACCTCCCCGAGTCACGCGATCAGGGTCCACGGTCACATCCCACCTCCGCCTACAAGCTTCTGGACCTCCTCCTTGGGGCAATTTCCTGGGGAGACTGAACCCCATCCCGCAGGTCCCTCAGAGCAGTCATGAGACTGCGCCCTCGCTCCAGGGAGGTTCTGAGCAGGTGGCCCGTCCCTGTGCACAGAGCCAATCCCGGCACAGGCCCCAGGGAGGCCGCTGCGCGTGCTGCCTCCAGGCTGACCGACACAGCCCTCTCCTCCTGCACACCTGCACTCAAACAGTCCAAGCTCCTTGGGGTTCAAACCCATCCCCTCGCTCTCACGCCAAGTACCCACACCGTCTCCCATCTGTCTCCCCTGCCCCTTCTGGGCCGAGCTTAAGGCCCGTGGGTCCTGATTAAGCTTCAACCGCTTTGTCATAAAACAACCCTTTCAAGCCCCGATGGTAACGGGAGGCGGTGGTGATGTCGTCTGTTTAACATCAATTGAACAGGCAGCCTCTGCCCCTCCCACTCCATCGGAGGTGAACCCAGAACCCAGACCCTCGCTCCAGGACAAAAAAGAAGACATCAACCCAAAGGCTCCTCCCCTACCCGGGAAACGAACACAGTTTACCCAGCAGGGGACTCCGTGGTGTGGCCGCGCGTTCAAAGCAGAGCAGGGTGGACAAAGTGTTGCTAATGACGGGGCAGCAAAGCTATGCAAAGAGGCTGAGCCCTCAGGTTCTGCACGAGAGCTTCAACGGGAACGGAAACCACGACCTTCCACTGGGCTCTCCTTGCACTCCCCATCTTGGAGATAAAAGCAGGGGCGAAGGCAGGCCGATGAGACCCCCCCCCCCCCACGCACCAGGCGCTGGGCTCGATGCCCCCGGTGGACCACCTCGTTAATGACCACGGTAGCCACACCACAAACAGTGGGCGGCCCGTGAAAATGCTGGCGGCTGCTGCACCTGAACCCGAAATCTTAGGGACCCTCAGGCTGGGAGAGAGACTCACGGAAGACTACAGACATTCTTTTTACAGAGGAAACAGCAGTGGGGGTGGCGGTGGCGTCAAAGAGCGGCAACAAGGGGCAGGGGCAGGAGCTGTGATGCTCGGGTTGAGGGAGGGCGGAGCTGCGCTCACGGTTAGGGCTGGCGCCCCAGGAACAGCAGGCGGAGCCCGGCCACGGGGAGTGGAAGACCGAGGGGACCGTGGGGGCGGCCAGGACCTACTTCCTCCCTGGGCGTGTAGCGGCCTGCCTCACCGGCTCCTCCAGCTGCTCACGGGCCGACCAACGGCCCTGACCCCCGACGTGCGGGAAGAACGCCCAGGTTCAGATGAAAGGCGTGATTAAACGTGGCCCGTCCATTCTCCAACGGCACGGAAGTGTCTGTTCCTTCTCTAAACCTTTGTGTCTCCAGCAGCCACCTGCCTGCACCGCTCACTGCCCCGGGGATGCTGGAACAACTGACGAGACAAGGGCACCAGTCTTGAGATCTGCTGAAAATGGGGGGGGGGGGCCTGGAAAAATCAAGAAGGGGGCCCACAGACGAGCCAGGAAGCACCGAGCTGTGAAAAGCACACAGGCCTTAGGAATGAGTGACCTAGGTCAGAGTCCCGATGATGCCAGGCGCTATGGGTGTGGCTCTGTGTGACCGGCGTGACCACCCCCCCTCAGCATCCTCAATCTGGAACACGGAGCTAAATGTGCACACGCGTGCATGCACACACACACCTGCACTCTGCTGAGTCGTCTGGAAATACCAGTGGCCACGACTCCATCCACACATGGGGTCTCTGGGCCCAGGCATCGTTGCCTCTCGTCTAGATGACTGAGTAGCCTCCTCGATGGTCTCCCCAGCACGTCCCACCTTGTCTGTCCCCTCTCGCCCGCTCCAGCTGCACTGGCCTCCGTTCTGACGCGAAGCCTGCCAAACCCAGCCCTACCACAGGGCCTTTGCATTTGCAGTCCCCTCGGCCTGTTGTGCTCCTGTCTCATCTCTCCAGGCCTGGCTTCTTGTCAGGTCTCAGCTCAGTGTCCTCCCCTCAGAGCACTTCCTGTCCACTCCAGCTCCAGGGGTCTCCAGCCCAGGCCTGGCCACGTGCCAACACATTCCCCTGGGCTCCTCGACTCAAAGCCCTTACTCCATCATGAAATCACCTTATCTGAGTACTTCTCTATGTCCCTGGCTATCAGGGGAGCTCCTTGAGGATGCGACCACGTCTGACTCAGTCACCACTACGTCCCCAACGCTGGGCCCAGAGCAGATGCTCCAAAAATATCTACGGATGATGAGTATGCCCAGCACTTGGCATGTGCCTGGAATGCAGGTGGTGCCCTGCAAATGGCACTTAGTGTGACTGAGAGGAACTGCAGGGTGGCAGCTCAGGGCACAGACCTCGGTGCCGCAGCTCTGGGGGCATCCGGCTCCCTCCAGTGGCACGACCTCACGTAAGTCACTAAACATCTCTGTGCTTCCTTCTTGCGATCTGAAGCAGGGAATGACTACAAGAAGGTCCACTCAGAAGATGATCATGAGGCCTGTAGGAACAGTGCTTGGGCCTATGGTGATCTAGAACAGTCTCATCGGTCTTAACATCACCCCAAACGCCCACACTGCACACACTGCCCGGCAAGGCCTTGATGAGAAATCTGGGGGGAAATGTCCTAGGCCCCTAACCCTGAGGCCTGCAGCCAAGAGAGAAAGAGAGTGGCTGCAGGGACCCCACAGCTCTCTCCCTGCAGGGCGGGCTGTCTGTGCCACAGTTCGGAGTCTGGGGAACTGCGTCCCCGCTGGCCACCTCCCTGAGAAGGGCTCCCGCTCCCCGAGTGGCCAGGCCAGGCCCTGCCGGGGCCCGTGCCTGCATCCAGACGCCGGGTGCCACGGCCGGGAAGCCAAAGGTCGTTTCTGAAAAAAGCACTTCTGCTCCGGGCCAGACTGGGGAGACAAAGACGAGAAGGAAAAACGAGATACTACGAAACTCAAACAGATGTTTGCCAACAAAATCACCAGGAACCAGAGAAAGAGGAAAGCAAGAAAGGAAGCAGGGCTGGGCCAGAGGGTGGGGGTGCGCGTGGAGGGGGAGGGGGTAAGGATTTAAAAGCAAGGTGGGCTGGAGGGGGCTGGGACAGGCAGGGGAGAATGTGCTTCCATCTGTAGTTAGCACAATAAAACGCAGTCACGCATCGCCACATGGGGCTTTATTATAATCAGGCCGCAGAATTTACTGTGGCTCCCCCCTCCCTTCCCAGCTCTGGGCGCTGAAGGCTGACAGCAGAGACTCTTATCAGTTGCAAGCAGCTTTTCAGGACCTCCCCCGACTCTGAGCCCTTTATCTGGAGGTGAGGGTCTTGGTTGTGGGGAGATAAAACACACTGTCCCCCTCCCTGGAGACCGGTACAGAGAATGGAGGGCTTTGCAGAAAGGAAGGAGGGGTGGGGAAAAAAAAAAAAAAAAAAAGCTCTGTCCACTCCCCTCCCCGCTCCCTTCCTTTGGAGCCTGAGAAAATCTAGGGCTTGGGGGCTGGTTGAGTCCCCACGCAACGGGGACGGGGGTCGGGGAAGCTTCAGGAACAAGGTGGAGGCCCGGGCGAGTGTGGGGGAGGAGCATGTGAAAAAAGAGCACAGGAGGCTGGGAAGAGGGTCATGGATGCGATTCGTGTAAGAAAGGAACAGAAAGGGCAAACGGAGGCACAGGAGGTGAGCTCTGTGGGAATTCACCTAGTAACGGGGGACGCAGCAGGGCCCGAAATCGGTCCAGACACGCACAGCTTCGCATCTGAAATCGGGCCTGCCGCCGGGCTCCGTGGCCTCCTTTGTGTGAGTCTCGTCAGCCCCGAGAGGCAGGGCCTGCCAGGCCGGAGTCTGCGTGGGATGCTCTCAACACGGCCACAAAGGCCCCGGAAAGCGGGGTGCAGCGGGGCAGACTGGGGTTCGACGCCTCGGCAGAGCCCCTGCGCGGTGAGCTCCAGAATGCTTCTGTACGCGGGGCCCATTCCTACTGCTAGTGTGACATCTCAGCCGCCCCCCAACAGCCCTGTCTGTGCCCCTCGGGCCTCTTCTGGGCAAGAGGGTCTGTGTCGCACCCACTGGGGTCAGCCCCGCTCAGCCCCACTCAGCAGAAGCTGGTGCCCGCCGCTGAAATGACAGGCCATCCGCTCCGGCTTCGGCTGCTGAATGAACAACGGAGGCGGAGGAACGGTGATCTACCATACCCTCCCCAGAGCCCTGCGAGGTCGGGATGGTCATCATGCCCATTTTACAGATGCAGAAACTGAGCACCAGAGGACGGCGGCTCGCTCGGCCGCAGGGCTAAGAGGGGCCGACAAGGAAGACGGAGATTCCCCAGGAGCTCTGCGCTGCGCACGGAAGCACCAAAGTGCTCAGCGCAAGGCCCGGCATGGAGCAGTCGCCCGTGGACTCATCCGCACCGCTGTCCCACCGGGCAGCCAGTGGACAAGGCAGCTGCCTTGCGGAATGGACTTGCTAACGGGGAAGCCAAACAGATGGACGGCAAGGAAATGAGCCCGTCCAAGGCGCGACCCCAGGAAGCGGGAAAAGATTACAACACAGCAGAGGGTAGCTCATGGGGTGGGCTTCAATCGGTCCGCACGGCGGGAGCCGTGACGGTCCCTTTCCGCTCTGACGCGGGCTGTCACCGGACGACAAACCGTCCGTCCCCAAGCTCCCACCGTGGGCCAGAGGCTTGGGACACAAAGGCCAGGGGGAGCAGCCCCCGCCTTTCACGGGCCCAGACAGAGGTGCAGAAACCCTTCTTCGGGCACCATTCACTCCATCCACACACGTTCAACGGCGCCAGTCTAGGCCTGGGGCCTCACAGGGCGCGGGGCCCCCGGCAGGGCACAAGACAGCCGCGCCTTGCCCTCGTGGCTCGCCGTGGATATTCAACAAGAAAAACCGACGAATGAAATGAGCGTTAGAAGAGCCGAGTGGACGGAGGGCCACGCCAGGAAACACGCAAACGAGTGTGGCCACGTGGCAGTGGTCACCGAGGGAGGCACCAGCCTCAGTGGTCCTGCCAAGCAGGTAGGAGAGGGTCCTTTGCTTCCGGCAAATCAGCGAGCTTGAAAGGAGGGCTCGCTGTGGCCAAAAAATATCAGTCAGGTTTGGGTTTAGCAAGTGAACTCTAAGGCCGCTGATGATTTTAGGGTGGTGGCTCATTGGGTAGGAAACATGACTACGTCACTGGGGCGCCTGGGTGGCTCCATTGGTTGAGCATCTGACTTTGGCTCAGGTCCCGATCTCACGGTTCGTGGGTTCGAGTCCCGCGTCAGCTGTGCTGACAGCTGAGGGTCTGGAGCCTGCTTCAGATTCTGGGTCTCCCTCTCTCTCTGCTCCTCCCCTGCTTGCACTGTCTCTCTCTCTCTCTCTCTCTCTCTCTCTCTCTCTCAAAAATAAACATAAAAAATAAATCAAAAAAAAAAAAAAACATGACTACATTACAAGAATTGTTTCTGATGGAGACGGAAGCAGGTTTTGAAGGGAACCCTAATCCATTGTGTGGACAAAACGAACTCACCAACAGGGGGTAGGGAAGGGCTTTGGAAGGTTCACACCAACAACCAGTAACCCTGCTGACCAGGGAGGCAGGCTCCCGGAGCCTCGAAACACAGAGACTGAAGTGGCTCCGAGTGCCGTGTGCTGACTGGGCTAGTCCTGAAGAAGGCTCTGCTGACTCACGAGGACGTGACAAATGCAGCCAGCCTGGCGTCGGGGGCTGGGGGGAGAGGGGGGGCAGGTATGGACTGTGAGCTCTAATCAATTAAAGGGCTGTTCTTTAAATGCAATTTTTAAAAAAAATTTTCTAATGTTTGTTTATTTTGAGGGGGAGAGAGAGACAGCGTGGGAGCAGGGGAGGGGCAGAGAGAGAGGAAGACACAGAATGCGAAGCAGACTCCAGGCTCTGAGCTGTCAGCACAGAGCCCGACACGGGGCTCGAACGCATGAACTATGAGACAGTGACCTGAGCCAAAGTCGGACGCTTAACCGACTGAGCCACCCGGATGCCCATAAAGGAGTGTTCTTTAATGAGAACTCCGCTCGCCCCGTTTCTGCTGTGAAACAGCCTTTCTGGGGATGATGGAGAGGACCGATGGGAGACTTATTTTTTCAATTCTTATTTTAATAAACAGGTAACCCTACAGGGGGCAGGTATGAAAGCGGACGCTGCTGGTGAGCAAAGTCCCAACACATGGATAACAGGACCCCCGGTCCTTTTCAAAACTTTTCTCAAGGTCTTTGATTCTAGGGTGTGGTCATGGCCCCGTGGGTGCTTCTCCCCTCCTGGGGGCATCTGGGGAACACCCAGGGGATGCAGGTGGTGTTTCGGGAAGTCATGAGCACTGGGGACACTCCTGACACTTAGTGGGTGGCGTCTGGGGACACAAAATGCCTTGCAAGGTGCACAGCAGTCCGACAAAGAAGAAGTATGCTGTCTCGGTGCCAGTGGTCCTGTCCCTGCCCTTGCAGCTGTCGGTGACCAGGGGGCGCTATGCTACTCTAAGGACCTGGAGAGTATGTATCTCCCCTGGAGTCACCGTCCTTGGCCAGGCATCCTGGTGGATGCATAAAACAAGGTCGTTTTCACCTGCTCTGTTCCAAATCCCTGCTGGTAGATTCTGGGAGTTTTTTTCAACCTTTAACTGATGAGCAGAAAAGCTGGCTACTTTCGTCCCGCCTGTAATTCTACGTTCTACCTGTCGAAGGACGTTTTCCGAGACGCACCGGTTTCCAGGACGAACAAAGAACTTTACCAGACATCTGATACGCTTTAGTGCAGCGCCCACCCCCCCACCTTCCCGTGCCTGCCACCCCAGGGCACCCCGGCCTCAGCTCTTACAGGTTTCCGGCTCCGCTGCGCCCTCTTCCGCAGGTCCTGCTGGGGGGTCTCGGGGTTCCTTCTTCTGCGGGGCGGAGCTGGAGAAGACGCCCACCGGAGCCCATTCCAGATACAGGGGCACGTGGCGACACTGCAGAGACGGGGCAGGGGAGGGGCTCAGTTCCCTCTACAGAGGAAGAGCCCGAGGCTCAGACTGCAAGGACGACTCACCCCGGGGAACGGAGCAAAGGGAGAGGCACAGCCTGGAGCCCTCTGTGCTGCCTGATCCCTGAGAGCAGCTTGGGGCCCCCTGGCTGCAGCCTGGGGCTCAGGGGAGAGGCCCCAGCGTCTGCTGTCACCGACGTGTTTGTGTCTCCTTGTGTTTTCTCTGGCCAGGCAATGGAGCGGAGTGGGCCAGGGAAGGGGGCTGGTGATAAAGCATAGCACAGTGGATCAGGACCGTCAGAAACCCACGTTCTCCCCCCCACCGCCTCCAGCTGCCAATACCACAGTGCAATGTGTGTGCACGCAGAGTTTTTGCCTTTAAAGAAAGGACGAACTGGACACCGATAGTCTGCGCGGTGCTAAAGTGCCTGATAAACAGAAGCTACTCGTAGCGGGTTGAAGGGTGACACCCCCACAAAGGTAAGTCCGCATCCGAAGCCCCAGAACCTGTGAAGACCTTATCTGGAAAAAAGATCTTTGCAGATATCACTTAAGTAGAAGATCTTGAGATGAGAGCATCCGGGTTATTGGGGTGGGCCCTCAACCCAATGACAAGGGTCCTCGTAAGAGAAAGGCAGAGGGAGACCAGGGACAGAGGGAAAGAAGGCCACGTGAAGAGGGAGGCAGACACTGGGGGCACACGGCCACGAGTGAAGGGACACGTGGTGCCACCAGCCTCTGGCAGAGGCAGCGAAGGGTGCTCTCAGAGCGAGCAGGGCCCGAGGATGACTGGAATTCAGACTTCTGGCCTCCGTGACTGTGAGACAATACAGTGCTGCTGTTTTAAAGCCACTGCGTTTGCGGCCATTTGTAACGGAAGCCGCAAGAAACTAACACGCTATGACAGAAGCGTGTGCGCATGTAATGCTCCTTCCTCTTTACCCAGAAAACAGGGGACAGGCCGCTTACAGGAGTGACTTCTAACTTATCGCGAGTACAAGATACCCGAAGCTCTGGGAATGATGGCCCCGATTCACCCGGGGATGGAAAACCAAGGGAAGCCAGAGTCAGGCAAGGAGCCATGGCCAGGTTTCTGGGGGATGTTTAGGGCGCCCCTCTCACATTCTCCCGCCCTGAGGTGTTCTCGGGGCTGGGGCAGCTGGCAGATCATGTCAGAGAGGGCTGGTCTGCAGACAGCGCCTCACCAGCCTGCCTGCGGGTCCGTCGGCCCCCTCGCCCTCTTCTGAGCAGGCCCCGGCAGCCCTACCTTGGAGTAGGCCAGATGCCTGAAGGCCCTCCGGGCCTCCAGGGGCTCCAGGAACTCCACGATGGCAGTGACACCGCCCTCGGGCAGCAGCACTCGGCCCAGGCTGCCGAATCGGCCGAAGGTCTCCTGCAGCTCGGCCGCCAGGGTGCCCGCCGGGAGGTTCTTCACCAGAATTACAGTCTTGCTTCGCTCGGCTGCGGCCTGCGGGGCAGGGAATGAACACACGTGGGGCAACAGGCGGGAGAATCCCCCAGCCCAACACCAGCCCTGATCTGTGGCTGGCTCTGCACCAGGTACCCCTCTGCGGTCTCAGGTGCCAGGTGCTTGGGGAGCGGGCCCCTGAGGCCCCACTCTCTTGGGCACGCCGCTCCAGGGGGCAGCTTTTTGCAGAGAATGGGAGGAGGGCTCCAGCTCTGAAGCCCCGGGTCAAATCTCAGCCCCTCCCCTCCTGAGCTGTGGCAGATTCTGACAATGCCTGAACACAGCTCTCTCTGGACCTTCCAGAACGTTCCTGCCCAGACTGCCAATGGCCAGGATGTGCATCTCAGGGCTGAGAGCCTTTTTTCCTGGAACTGCAGATACCACACGTGGGGCAGGCAGGAAGGGCCGAGGGGTTAACACCCCGGGAGCAGCCTACAGCTCTCAGGAGTTCACGCGTCCCCCGTCCTCTGGGCAGGACAAGTGTGAGGTATGAGCCCTGCAGCTTTCCCCATAAAGCTCAGCCCCCTCGCTGCACCAGCAGTCACTGTAATAAGCACCCCCCACGCTGACCTCCTTCCCCTTGACCTTTCTCACCAGTATTTTCTGCACTGCCCAGTAACCTACATGCACTTGACCCTGTCTCAGCGTCTGCTCTTGGGAGAAGCCAAACGAAGACACTAGCCATCCAGCCCGAGAGACGTACTGCTTCAGCCCCTCACCTAACATTGAGGACGCGGCGCCCATTCCACGGGACCCTTGCGGGGACGGACTTAATTATGTGCCTTAATACGAGCCAAGTGCATAGAGCACACGCGGTCTGTAAATGTCAGTGGTTACTGTACTGAAAAGCGACACGGGAAGGGCGGGAAGGAGCCAAGATGTAAAGGAAAAACCCCGGGCACTTGGAGTATCCCAGCATGAGTCTCAGCTTGGCCACAAATCTAACTGGAAACTTTGGGTCAGTTGCTTTCGCTCTGGCCTCTGTTTTCTCATCTGCAAAATGGACCAGCTAATGGTCATGCCCATCCTCTAGGCCTCGCTGCTGCTGGAAGGACTAAGACGGGTGAGGTGGAAGCCGTCTGTGGGTGGGAAGGACTGCACCCCAGTGGGCTTCAGGTGCAACTCCGGCCGCAGGGGATGATGGCTGGGGGTGTGGGCTCTGGGGCTCCACCCTGACTTGCTTTGTGACCCGGAACATGTGGCTTGGCCTCTCTGTGCCTGTGGCTCCCCCCCCCCCATCCAAGGGCCACGACGGGAGCAAGCAGTGCTGCTTTCCCGGCTTGTCAGGTGAGTGACCCCAACAATAACACACAAATGTAGACGACCGCCGCGGTCAGTCCCACTGTCAGCTATTAGTGTATTTACTTGACATACCCACGCAGCCTTCCTTCCCAGCTGCCCTCTTACGGTAAACCTGAGGGCCTGGACGGCTGACGAGAGTGCTGTTTGGGAGTCAGAAGCTGAGATTTAGCCTGAGCTCCTGCCACAGGCTCACTGTGTGACCTCTGAGTCCCCCGCCCCCCTCTCTCTGGGCCTCAGTGTCTTGTGACGGAGGGGTGGGTGTGAGGGGGCCTCAGCGGGCCTGCTAAGACTCGACCATCCATTACTCTAATCTCCTATGTGGTGGAGAATAAGCCATGTTTAAGTGCTGGTCTGTAACCTTCCTGGTCCAAGGAAGGTCTAAACCCCCAGATAGCAGGTGCTTTTAGTAAGGTGCTGGGGGGGGTGGGGGGTGGGGAGGACGGGATGTTCAGGGCCCCTCCGATCTGGGTGGAGAAGCCGTGAGTCACAGGGCAGTCCTCCTGCACACCGCCCCCAAGAGACACCATCCAAGTCAAGTGGGTCCCTCGTCTGAGCCCGCGTGAAACTTTTTTCTTTGGAGACAATTTAAGGGTTAATACTGATCATCCTTGAGAGGCCTGATCCTCAAACCTGCCAGCTCACCCAGATCTGAAACTCCACCCTCAGCTCCCCGGGGGCTGGTGACTCTCCGAGCTGGTACCCACCTGGCTGAAGGAGTCCAGGCTGACCCCGTTGTCCAGGAGGAAGCGCCGCACTTCTTGAACGAGCTGGGTCTCCCCTAGGGCCACACGCACGGCCACACTGCCCTTGGTCTCCTGCGGGAGAGGGAAAAGGAAGAGGCCGTCAGCCAGTGGGCAAGGGACAAGTCAGCCGTCCCATCTCCCAACAGCCTGAAGAGGCGGCCGGATGGGACTGGGCCCCCCCGCCGATGCCCCACACATACCCACAGCGATTTGTGCCTCTGGCTTCTGTGCCGTTCACAGTAAATCAAGGACCCTGCGCCCACCTCTCTAGCTTCACGCCTCACCCTCCACTGTGGCCGTGCAGCCGACTTATCCCCACCTCGGGGTTTCCGCACTTGCTGACCTCTGCCTGCCCGGTGCTTACCCCACAATCCCTCCTTCCATCAAACTTCTGCTGAGATGTCACTTTGGTGACCAGCCTACCCTCACTCGCCCACCCTCTCCCCTACTCGGCTTAACTTCTTCAGAGCCATCACGGACAGGCTGCGCCTGTTTGTCAGAGTCTTCCTCCTCCGGAAGGCTCTGGAAGAACAGGACTCTCTGTGTGGGGTGCCTGTGGAATCTGAACAGGCCGTGCGCGTCCTACGCCCAACACGGTGGCCCCGAGCCCCATCCGGCCACCGAACACTTGCAATGTGGCGCGTGCGAATCAAGAAGTGCTCGGAGCAAAAAAACACGTGCTGGGTTTCGAACACAAAATATCTTGTTGTCTTTTATACTGTGTATGAGGTTGAAATGACATCGTGGCTGCGCTTCAGCTCCACTGAACTAAATGAAACAGATTACGAGCACGAACCTTGCCTGTTCTTTTTTGCTTTTTAAGAAACACGGCCACCAGGATGTTTCCAAGTGCACGTGGGGCACACGTTCTCGTTCTAATGGACAGTGCTGACCTCGAGTGTTGGGCAGGAGTAAATGACAGCGGGTCAACGGGCTTATGGGCCAAAACCCCTGTAATCCTTTGCTGACTGGCTGGAAAACACACGCGGAGGTTCTGCCTAAGTTGGACTCCACCGTGGTGTAACTACACACACGTGCGTTTTATTTATTCGTTTTAAAAATTTTTTTTTAACGTTTATTTATTTTTGAGACAGAAAGAGACAGAGCATGAACGGGGGAGGGTCAGAGAGAGAGGGAGACACAGAATCTGAAACAGGCTCCGGGCTCTGAGCTGTCAGCCCAGAGTCCAACGCGGGGCTCGAACTCACAGACCATGAGATCAGGACCTGAGCCGAAGTCAGATGCTCAACCGACTGAGCCACCCAGGCGCCGCCACACACGTGCGTTTTAAAGAAGGCCTGTGATGTGAAGGCGCTGGAGAGATGGGTGGAACGAGTCAGCTGGAATTAGGTTGGACTTCGACAGGAAGCGGGGCAGAGACTGAAGACTCCCCTTTTCCCGTCTCAAAGACCGGGGCTGCCCCGGGCCGAGGGACTGGGTGCAGCAACCCCCGGAGAGGCGTGTGACCGGGCTCGGTGCATGGGCACCAGACTCAGGCAGACCTGGTGTCATCTCATCTCAGGCTTTTCCAGGTGCATGACCCTGGCCAAGCTGCTTTGTGTCCCTAGGCCTGTTTCCTCATCTGGAACGTGGGACAGGAGGAGTGCTAGGTCACCGGGCTGTGGCGAGGAGACCACCCAGCTGGGTGTTTGTCATCAGCTGTGGCCTCTGGCTCGGCTCCACACGGGCCCGGGAGACACAGGCCTGGATCATGGATGGGACACTTCTCGACGAGGCCCCGAGGGTGCCCACAACTTTAGCCTGAGGCCTGGGGCTTGGAGATGACCCCCGAACAACGGCCCCTCCCCTGCTCCTTCTCCCCTCCCCCCGGCATTCGGCCCAGAGCCCACCATGTCGGACGGGACGCCCACTCACGTGGTCAAACACTTGACTCTTGGTGGCGCTGTATTTCTGTGCAATGGCGTCGGCCACAGCGTTAGGGCCTATGAACAGCGTGTTCCAGTTGTGAGAGCTGAGAGGCAGAGGCAGAACGGGGAGGTCAGACCAAGCCTGAACAAGTGGAGTGTCTTCTCAGGTGCAAAGCCCCAGAGAAGTAAGCTCACTGCCCGCCCTTCACCCAGGGCCCAGAGACGGGAGCAAGGACAATACAGTCCCGAATATCTGACCAGCACTTGCTTTGTGCCACAGATTAAGCACTTTGCTTATATTGGCGCAGCTAATTCTTATAACACCAAAAAAGCAAGGCACCACTGTGATTCCCCCCCATTAAGGAGATGAGGAAAGCAGGGCTCGGCAAGGTCATGGCGAGAGGCTGAACCCATCCCAAGGGGCCAGAGCACCCGGGCAGCTGGAGGGGCGGGGCCCAGAGGCTGGTAGCAGGTAAGGACCTGGAGCTGTTGGCTTTGTCTTTAGATTCTTTCTTCTTCTTATAAGACGATGATCCTGAGGTATCAGTGTCCTCACTGGCTTCCTTCTTGATGGTGGACGGTAACACATGTAGCATCCTGCCCTGTGGGGGGCGGGGGTGAGAAGGGGGTAGAGAGAGGAAGGGAAAGGGTACGCCCACATCCTGCCTCAGGACACCAGTCCCTCCACCGGCAGCTGGAAAGACTGGACAGAGCCTCGGGAAGAACCATGTGGCCACCCACGCACAATGTGGGGCCTGGCCATGTGACTCAGGGACGGGACACTTGGCGGGGGGGGTGGCTTTTGACACAGCCTCACAAGGGAAACTGAGTTTATAAAATGCCTGCAGGGGTGCCTGGGTGGCTCAGTCAGTTAAGCGTCCGACTTCGGCTCAGGTCATGATCTCACGGCTCTGAGTTCGAGCCCCGCGTCGGGCTCTGTCTCCCTCTTTCTCTGGCCCTTCCCCTTTCGAGCTCTGTCTCTCTCTCTCCCTCTCAAAAATAAATAAACATTAAAATAAAATAAAAAATAAAGAAAAAAATAAAAACAAAATGCCTGTAGCAACCCCCCTCCTGTCCCCTCGCACGGAGGTGGGGGCACCACATGGGCAGGAGCCAGGTCGAGCTGGAGAGATCAATAAATCATGAATGAACGAATGACTGGGGCAAAAAGGAGAAAGGGAGCTCGAGGTGGCCTGGGCTTGAACAGGCCTGCTAAGCACACTACACGGTAACACTGGAAAAAAGGGAGAGTTTCTTGCACCCTATTGTGACCATTTAATATGACCAGGTCCGAACTCTCTTTCCTTATTTCTCTTCCCAGCGGTATTTCTGAGGACGGACAGCATATTGGTTCGTGTGACAAACAGTTGGGAGTGTGCTCTGTGTGCCGGGTGCTGTCCTAGGTGCTGAAGGGCCCTGCCCTCATGGAGCCACCTTCCACTGGCTCCGGGAAAAAGGAGTGGCTTCGCACACCATCACGCGCGTTTTCTTGTAAACATGGGTGCCTGTGCACGTGGGCACACGCACCCCTTCTCGACCTCCTGGGCCCAGCCGCCACCCGCCAGCCTCGAGCAGTCACCTGGAACACCTGCCCATCCACTTCCGCGTAGGCCTTCACGGCGTGCTCGGGGAACATGAAGGTGACGAAGGCAAAGCCCTTGGGTTTCTTGGTCAGGCTGTCAATGGGGTAATGAAGCTCAGACAGGGGACCTGTGGACAGGAGAGGCGTCAGCATCTCGGGGGCAGGGGCTGGGCCCAACACACGATGGGTTTTAACACATAACAGCTGCTGTTTTGGGTCGGTCACGGCCACTTGGCCCAAGGAACAATGTGGCAAGTGGTTGGCACGAGACCCCCTCAAGGGTCAAGAGTGTCCTTGATTCACAGTCCTTTATGCGGCTACCCTCAAAGTACAGGTGCCTGGGCTGGATCCTGCCTCCACACGGATGTGTGTGGCCTTGGGCAAACCCCGAGCCTCCACATGCCTCAGTCTCTCGTCTATAACACGGCACCCCAAGAGCACCGAGCTCACAGGACAGCAGTCAGTACATCCACAAAGGCGTCACTGTGTGCAGTGTGCTGAACGGTGCTGGTCCAGAGTTAGTGCCCTAGAGGCTTCTGCTGTGATGTGATCATTACGCTCTAAATACAGCCTGTCCGAACCGGCTTCCACCCTAAACATCAGGCTGCCCTCTCTGTCTTCATCTTCCTGAACGGACACCTGCCCGTCCCCTCGCCCGTGTGGCCCAGCCCTGCTGTGCAAACCAGGGCAGTGGCCATGGGCTGGGAGGTTATACCAACGTGCCTGCTCGCAGAGTCCTGCCCGGGGCCGCCCTGCCCCCATAACAGGCACTGAGCCGAGCTCAGATCCTCACGGCCGTCCTCCAAACGGAAGTGAGGGATCCCAAAGCTTCCAGGCCTCGCCCTCCACCTCAAACCCTCACTTCCTTCCCTCCAACGGCCACGACCTTACAAACACACACAGCCCTGCGTGCCAAGCCGAATCCCAGGCCTTCCAATTCTCGCCTGAGAGAGAATGGCAGCAGCGACCGTGACGGCGGACATGACCCTTGCCGTCAAATGCACTCGGGACGCTCGGTCTGGAGAGCGAGGCCTCAGATGGTGGAGCTCAGACCAAAGAGCACGGTCACATCCACACCACCAGTGACCGGACTTCAACCACTGAGCAGCGAGGCAGTCTGGACGGCAAGGGCAAGCTCCGCAAAACGTTTCCAAATCTCGTCTGTCCTGGGGTCAGACAGTGAGGGCAGGAGAGGGCGAGTTCCGACAGCACGCAAGGCCTGCGATGCCACCTTTCACTGGGGGCCCTGCTAACCCCCGATGTAGGTGACATGTCGACGCTCACCCCAGCTCAGGGATCATTAGCCCCATCTATGGATGAGCAGACGGAGACTAGAGGGGTGACGCCATTTGCCCATGGTCAGGAGCCCCCCGGGAGGCGGACTGGACCGGAACTCAGGCCGTGGGCTTGCACTACGTGCCGTGGGCGTGCGCGGTGAGCGGGAGACGGGGGCCCCTACCGAATCTGGAGAAGAGCTGTTCCAGGTCTTCCTCGGTGCTGCTGTAGGGCAGGTTCCGTACGAAGAGCCTCCCAGAGTCGGCCAGGTCCTCCTCCTCTTCGTTCTCCCCGAGGGTCCGGCCTGGCCAGGGTTTGGCGCTGTTCTTCAAGGGCCCCTTGGCCGTGGGGGCGTTCTTTTCCCTGAACACCTCGATGTAGCGCCCGCCTGCAGGAGGAGGGGGTCAGGGCTCCGGAGCAGGCCCGGAACCTGCCGGGACTGCTGGGTCGCGATCCACACTCCCTTGCCGCCTTCCAGGTGCCGCGGCCAAGCCGACAGCGCTGGCTCTGGCTCTACTGCTGGGTGGCAGTCTGGGCCGGTGGCGGGCCTGAACCCGGAGGGCCCCCTCCCCGAATCTCACCCATCCGACTTCAACCCTGGGGGGGCCTGCCCCGCCACCCCGGGGCCCCTGTGCCGCATCCCCTCTGGGGGCAGGTCCCCCCGCAGGGCTCGCAGCTCTGCCCGGGCAAGGGTGTCACGTGACAGCCAACGCTGGAGAACTGTCTCTGTGCACCACCCTGTGCGCCTGATTAGACCCTGACCATCCCCTCCATGTGCGGGTAGTAGGTGCTCAATGAAAACTTACTGCCTGACTTACTAACAAGACTCCTCGGGCTTCCCACCTTCCTAACAGCGCACTCGTGTCCTCACTGGGGGTCACTGGCTGGCCCTGAATCACCTGTCTGCACTGGGATGCGTCAGAGACTGCATCCGTGGACATTGTTCGGGTGACCCCTCCCCCCCCCAATGGTGAGAACTTGTCCCAACGGTGAGAACTTGTGCTTGCTGCCCCCTCCACTGAACGGCCTGCCCGCGAAGCCAGAGCCGGCTCCCCTACTCCTCCGGGCTTTGCTCCAATGTCACCTGGGTGAGGCCCAAGTGGATGAAGTCCTGTTTCAAAACGCGGCTCCTCCAATCCCAGCCCATCTGACGGCTGCCTGTCTCTGCCGGCCGCGTGTCAGTTTTCTCTTAACCTCCAGGAGGGCAGAGACAGGTCCGTTCCGCTCACTGCTCTATCCCCCGTGTCAGGAGCAGTGTCTGGCCCCCAGCAGGCCCTCCACAAAACTTCACGGGGCAAATGAAGGAGTGAAGGAAGCCCTGTGAGCAGGCAGAGGCAGGCTTCCTTACCCATGTACTCCCTGTTGCATTTGAGAGCTTGTTTCACTTCTTCCTCGCTGCTGAAATCCACAAAGATGTACCCTGAGGGACGATGACAAAGACAGAATCTGTAGACACGGGTGGGAGTCACCCAGGAGTGCCCGTGCTGTGCTAGGTGTCCGGGGGGAGCCTGAGCAGAAAGTGGGGGGGGGGGGGACACCCATTTCTGCCCAGTCTCCAAAACACAAGCCGACTCTCCTGCCCCCCACCCCACCCCAGGCCAAACTTCTCTTTGCAGGGAGCCAGCGGGGAGACACCGTGGCCCGGCTGTACATGTGGAGGGCCTACAGGAGTCAGGAACACGGGAGGCCCTCACCTCCCTTCCAGCCTCACCCCACCCGAACCAGGGCCTGCCCCATGGCCTTCCCTGGAGACGTGCCCGAAGCCGCCGTGTTACGACCAGCTTGGAGCCTGCACGGCCATCTCCACCGTCTGTGAGCTCCTGAGGCCCCAACGTGCATACAAAGGAGGACCCAGGAGTCCTTCCTGGAGTCCGGACGGACTGAGGCCTCACACCTCCACCTCACACAAGGCCTCAGTGCTGTCAGGAAGCAAAGCATCAGGGCTAACAGATGCCAGGGCTGTGACCTCGTCCAAAGCCCACAGTCCGAGGCCTCTATCACAAGGCTGTTTATTCCCTCCTAAGATTCTCCTTCCTGTCTGTTCCCAAAGGCAGGCTCCTCATCCGTCCCCATAAACATCCTCCCCCCCCTTCCCTCCCCCTCTGCCACACCCCAGCCCAGCCTACTGCTCTGATCCTTCCCAGGAGGGCTGCAAAGCCCCACCCGGCCCACGGCCCCAGGACCCTCCTGTCACCAGCCAGGGGTCCGTTCTACATCCAACTGTGGCCTCCCTATGCTTTAAGCCACTGGCAGGGTCCTGCACCCAGGCTGAAGTCCACGGTCATTAGCAAGCCCCAGGCCTGGGGGCCAGGTCCTGGGTCCTCACCAGCTATTCTAAGGGGACATTCTGCCCCTCCTCAAAAGCGTCATGGTCACATGCCTGCTCCCTCCAGTTCCCGAGCCTCCAATAGGGTTTAATAGCAGCTCTTGGGGAGCGTGCAGTAGGCGTTCAACACTGTTTAGATGCTGTGTGTGTACTAACTCACTGAAGGAGTTAATACAATTTAATGAGGCAGGACGCCCTACTACACAGCTGAGCAAACTGAGACGAAGTCCCTCATCCCTGGGCACAGGGCTCGCGAGCGGCCGAGCTGGGATCTGAGCCCGGGCAGGCGCTCGTCACCCCGTCCTCCACCGCACTTGGAGAGCTGGGCAAGGAGGGAGGGCTGGCTGGAGGAGCAGACCCGCCTGGGAGGCAAGGTTTCGTGCTCAGAGACCGGGGAGGAAAGATGACAAGACCCGCCCCAAAATAGGAGCCCTTGCGTCCCTAGACATCAGCCACAGTTCCTGAACCCTCCGCCCATGCCAGAGTCTTCTCGCCCAGGATGCCCTGCATGCCCAGTGCCGGCCTCCCCATGGCCGGAGGCCCTCAGTGCATTCCTCCGTATCCTGCAGCCTCCCGGCCTGGCCAGCGGGTAGGCTCTCCAAGCTCAGGCCCTTCTTTCCAGCATGCTCCCCACCCCTCTGAAGCCTAGAGAGGGGGCCGGCCACGAGGAGTGGGAAGGGGTGCAGAAGAGGGCAGCACAGGGGCAACACCACACATTCTCAGCAACTCAACAGTGCTGCCCGTGGACCCGGCCCAGAAAACCCCAGGACCAAGGACATCTGCTTTTTTTTTTTTTTTAATGTCTACTTATTTTTTTTTCAAAGAGAGAGAAACAGAGTGCAAGCAGGGGAGGGGCAGAGACAGAGGGAGACACAGAATCCAAAGCAGGCTCCAGGCTCTGAGCTGTCAGCACAGAGCCCGACGCGGGGCTCGAACCCACAAACCGTGAGATCATGACCTGAGCCGAAGTCGGACGCTTAACCACCCAAGCGCCCAGGGGTATCTCACTAAACAGAACAGGTGAGCCGACGAGCCCAAGTGTGGGCTGAGGTGGGGAGGGGAGAGAAGAGGAACAGGTTAAGACGACCCGCCAGGCCGCCAGGGAGGCTGGCCCTGGTCCTGAGCCCGTCCACTGACAACCCGCAAACCGCAAACCCAGCAGCTGCCCCGAGCCTCCATCAATACCGCCTGCCTCCCCCTCAAGCTGGCACTGGCCTTACCTGTCTTGTTCCCGTGAGCATTTCTCACTATTCGAATGGCCACTGGTCTCAGCGGGGCCAGGAATTCCATGACATTCTTCTACAAGAAGAAAAGTTTTTCCTCCTTTATCGACCCAGTAACAGACGTGCAACCCCATCAAGAAACAGGGGCCAAATTTCTGGATTCAGAGAGGTCCCCACAGTGGCTTACCCTTCAGCATCTCTCGCACCTCTAAACAATACGTATCTTTTCCCCTTCGTAAAACTACCTTAGAAAAAGTTTGTAAAAAAAAAAATTGGGAGTGAAAAGTATAAATATATGTGTAGAGTAGTAACGTCCCAATCAGCATTTTCAGGCATGGTTTCTGATCTTTTTTCTTTTTACATATTTGGGATTAACTCTTTTGTCGCTTCTCATTAATGCATGAATATTTGTTCATGTTACTTCTTCAAGGTGACACATAGACACTTAAAGGGCTGTTGTAGACAGTCCCCGATTTTCTGAACTCTTTCTGTTTTGGACTAAAGGTGATTTAAACACACTTTCTTTTTTCTCTTTTTTCTTTTTTTTTTTACTGTTTTATTTATCTTTGAGAGAGAGAGAGAGAGAGAGAGAGAGAGAGAGAGAGAACGAGAGAGAGGGTGACAGAGAATCCAGAAGAGGCTCCCGGCTCCAAGCTGTCAGCACAGAACCTGATGTGGGGTTCGAACTCATGAACCACAAGATCATGACCTGAGTCAAAATCGGACACTTAACCAGCTGAGCCACCCAGGCACCCCAAACACATTTTCTTAAGATGCACACAAATATCCACAATATTAGCAAATGCCGAAAAGTACAAAACAAGAAGTCAAAAATGGCCCCGGTTTCCAATGCCCAGCTCACTTTTGTTGGCTTTTTGTTAAAAATGAAAGTAGGGGAACCATTCTCATTTGTGTACTGGCTTTTAAGCCCGTTAGAGAAGCTTCAAAGGCGCAAGCAACCATAAAAATCAACGCACAGAAGACGAATGGAAGAAGAATTTTTGCTGTTACTACCCCCACTTTTAAATATGTCAAATTACCAAATTCTCCCCCCCAAAAAAACCTTTTTCCTCATTTTCATGTGCCTACTGAGAAATCTAGCATAGGACAGAAGGTGTGTCTTCTTTATGGGGCACCGGGGCGGCTCAGTCGGTTAAGCGTCTGACTCTTTCGACTTCCGCTCAGCTCCTGATCTCACAGTTCCAGAGACTTGAGCCCTGCACTGGGCTCTGTGCTGACAGCGCACAGCCTGCTTGGGATTCTCTCTCTCTGCCTCTCCCGGGCTTGCACTCTCTCTCCCACAAAATAAACATTTAAAATTAAAAAAAAAAAAAAAAAAAAAGTGTATCTCTTGGAAAAAAAAAAAATCATCAATCTACACTCTTCTGTATGTTGCATGTTTTACTTGATGGTACATCCTGGGGACCTTCCATACCAGGACATTCTTTTAAGTGACATATCATATCCTACTGTTTCAATGTGCCCCACTTAGTTAACTCCAGCTAACTAAACTCCAGTTCGCACGAGTCAACTAGACCTTGTGTTTTTCAGTACGGGCACTACGGAAATTTGGGGCCTGGGGATCTGTCCTGTGCACTACAGGATGCCTGGCAGCATCTCTACCCTCTGTCCCCAGATGCTCCCTCTTCGGCTGCAAGAGTTGAAGCCATCTCCAGATATTGTCAAGTGTCCCCTAGAGGGGGCACACCATCCCCAGCTGAGACCCCCTAACTTAGCCACTTCTTTTTTTTTTTTTTTTTTAATGTTTATTTTTGAGAGAGAGAGAGAGCAAGCAGGAGAGGGGCAGAGAGAGAGGGAGACACAGAATCCGAAGCAGGCTCTGGGCTCTGAGCTGTCCGCACAGAGCCTGACATGGGGCTCGAACCCACGAACCGTGAGATCATGACCTGAGCTGAAGTCGGACTGAGCCACCCAGGCACCCCTAACTTACCCACTTCTTTAAGGACAAAGTGTAAAGGTTGTTTACTGGTTTTTGTTTTTGGGTGTTTGGTTTTTTTTTTTTTTTGCGTTTCTAAATAACAACATAAATTGATGCATTAAGTTACCAATTAAATAGTAACACGAAAAGGCTGCAGTGAACATTCTTGCACTGAAATCTTGGTGTACGTGAGCCGTTCGCCTACAGCAAATTCCTAGCATTAAAATTGCTGGGCCAACGGACTTCAAGCTGTATTACAAGCTGTAATCATCAAGACACTATGGTACTGGCACAAAAACAGACACTCAGATCAATGGAACAGAATAGAGAACCCAGAAATGGACCCATAAACGTATGGCCAACTAATCTTTGACAAAGCAGGAAAGAATATCCAATGGAATAAAGACAGTCTCTTCAGCAAGTGGTGCTGGGAAAACTGGACAGCGACATGCAGAAAAATGAACCTGGACAACTTTCTTACACCATACACAAAAATAAACTCAAAATGGATGAAAGACCTCAAAGACAGGAAGCCATCAAAATCCTCAAGGAGAAAGCAGGCAAAAATCTCTTTAACCTCAGCCGCAGCAACTTCTTACTCAACACGTCTCCAGAGGCAAGGGAAACAAAAGCAAAAATGAACTATAGGGACCTCATCAAAATAAAAAGCTTCTGCACAGTGAAGGAAACAGTCAGCAAAACTAAAAGGCAACTGACAGATTGGAGAAGATATTTGCAAATGACCTATCAGATAAAGGGTTAGGATCCAAAATCTATAAAGAACTTATCAAACTCAACACCCAAAAAACAAATAATCCAGTGAAGAAATGGGCAAAAGACATGAATAGACACTTCTCCAAAGACATCCAGATGGCCAACCTACACATGAAAAAAGCTCAACACCACTCATCATCAGGGAAACACAAATCAAAACCACAATGAGATACCACCTCACACCTGTCAGAATGGCTAACCTTAACAACTCAGGCAACAACAGATGTTGGCAAGGATGCGGAGAGGATCTCTTCTGCATTGTTGGTGGCAATGCAAGCTGGTGCAGCCACTCTGGAAAACAGTATGGAGGTTCCTCAAAAAACTAAAAATAGAACTACCCTACGACCCAGCCATTGCACTACTAGGCATTTATCCACGGGATACAGGTGTGCTGTTTCGAAGGGACACGTGCACCCCCATGTTTATAGCAGCACTATCGACAATAGCCAAAGGATGGAAAGAGCCGAAATGTCCATCGATGGATGAATGGATAAAGATGTGGTATATATACACAATGGAGTATTATGCAGCAATCAAAAAGAATGAAATCTTGCCATTGGCAACTATGTGGATGGAACTGGAGGGTATTATGCTAAGTGAAATTAGTCAGAGAAAGACAAAAATCCTAGGACTTCGCTCATATGAGGACTTAAAGAGACAAAACAGATGAACACAAGGGAAGGGAAGCAAAAATAACATAAAACCAGGGAGGGGGTACAAAACAGAAGAGACTTAAATACAGAGAACAACAGAGGGTTCCTGGAGGGACTGTAGGAGGAGGAATGGGCTCAATGGGGGAGGGGCACGGAGGAACCTACTCCTGAAATCACTGTTGCACTGTATACTTAACTAACGTGGATGTAAATTTAAGAAAAAAAAAAAATGCTGGGCCAAATGTATGTGGCTTCTTAATTTTGACGGACGCTTCCAAACTGCCCTCCAAAAGGCTGCACTGCACACTTCTACCGACAGCCTGCCAAAGTATTATCGAACTTTTAAAATGTTTGCAAAACGTAATCTTCCAGATTGGACCTGTAGTTCTTCAACTCTGAGTGAACTCAAGTATCTTTACTGGCTCATATGAGTTCTTTCCCTTAAAAGACCTCCTAACCTTTTGTCCATTTTCCTTTCAGGTCACAGGTCCCAATACCAACCTATTTATTTGTAAGTTAAAGAGACCTGCCTGTTCTTCGGTGATGAATGTCTGTCATCTCTTGACTTTACGACATCTGTCGCCCTACGGAAGGTTTTAACTGCTGTGTAGTCAATTAATCCATGTTCTTCCTTACGGCCACCAAAGTTCTGCAACAGCTTGGAGGGCAGTGTTTCATACTAATATGATAAGTAAATTCACCCAATGCTTCCTCCTGTAACTTTCACAGTCTCTTTTTTTTTTTTTAATTTTTTTTCAACATTTTTTATTTATTTTTGGGACAGAGAGAGACAGAGCATGAACGGGGGAGGGGCAGAGAGAGAGGGAGACACAGAATCGGAAACAGGCTCCAGGCTCTGAGCCATCAGCCCAGAGCCTGACGCGGGGCTCGAACTCACGGACCGCAAGATCGTGACCTGGCTGAAGTCGGACGCTTAACCGACTGCACCACCCAGGCGCCCCCAAAGTCTCGTTTTTTAAAGCTTTCGGTGCATCTGAAATTTATCTTGCTGTAAGGAGTAAGGCTGGAATCCATCTTTCTTTCTGCAGAAAAGCTCACCGATTGTCCCATTATTATTTATAGAAAAATCTCTCTTCTCATTGATGTGGACCACCCCCATGACACTAGAGTAAATGCCGATATAAATATGAGTTTATTTCTGTATTCTATCATATTCCATCAATCTGTCCACAACTTTGCTCGAACCAAACTGTTTTAAATGCTATAGCTTCAATCAGGTTTCAGTATCTTGTAGACGGAGGTCTATTCTTGCAGGATATTCCCCATTGTTACACCATCCCCTCTCGTGATGAACTCATTCTTCTATAAGAATTGGTATCTTTACTTTCCAAAAATGCATGGCTTTCCATTTATGTTAAATGTTCTTTTAAGAATCCCTCACTGGAATTTAACGTTTCCTTTATACAGAACCTATAAAACTTCCATGAGAGTATCTATAAAGCCTCCCTTCACACACACACACACACACACACACACACACAATGTTCATCAGAATATCTAGAAGCAGGTTTTCTTTCTGGCTTAAACACAAATCTTTTCTTCCATTGTATTTTGTTTTTGTTCATAGAGACGGAAAAAGTGACTCTTTTCTTTGGCGTTAGTTTTGCAAAAAGACATCTAACGTTTACTTATTTACGTTTTTTAATTTTTTTAGGTTTACTTATTTTTTGAGAGAAAGAGCAAGCCGGGGAGGGGCAGAGAGAAGGAGAGAGAGAATCCCAAGTGTAGGCTCTGCACTGTCAGCACAGAGCCCAACCTCATGAACTGTGAGATCACGACCGGAGCCGAAACGGAGGGTCGGATTCTTAACCAACGGAGCCACCCAGGTGCCCCATCACGTTTACTTATTAAGTAAAGCATGATCCTCTGCATGTTTGATATTGAAAGGATTCTGACTCTAAATTACCCGATAATTCAGAGAGTCTAGTGCGACCCAAACACCGACTGCGGAGATGAACTTGGATGAGCTTAATTTTTAAGAATCGGTAAATACAGACTATCAAAACAGAGGAACCCTTCAAGAGGAAAAAAAAAAGGGCAAAGATATATATGGTTGGGCACTTTGTAAAAGAGGATGAATTACAAATGTGATTGGCCCCACCAATGATTGAAAATATAAATTAGGATGAGATGCCATTTTCTCCTGTCACGTTGACACAGGTGAACACCCGGGGTTCACAGAAGCCGGCATTTCCGTACGTCGCTGAAGAGAGTGCAAACCAGCAATGCTTCCGGGGGCAACTGACATTCTGTATCAAAGCCTTGAAAGTGCCCGTGCGTGCGCCTGCATGATATCTATCTGAAGCAAGGGTTGGCAAACTGTGGCCCGCAGGCCAAATATTGCCCATGGCCTGCTTTTGCATGACCTGAAAGCTAAGAGTGGTTTTCCATTTCTGAAGGGTCATTTGAAATAAAGAAATGTGGTCCAGATACCATAGGGCCCCCAAAGCCTAAACTCTGTGACCTCCGTGGAAAAAAATCTGACCTCTGGTCTCAGGGAATGCTGACTGCATTATTATTAACAGCGAAGTCTGGAAACGACTCCCAGGCCCCACCTTTGGGGATTCGGGGAGTACATATCACAGTGCGTCCACAGTAAGTCACGTGCAACGTGAACGACGACGCTGGCAGGGAGGATGCAGAATATTCTACACCACGCCCCCTCCTGATGAACTTACTCTTCTACAAGAATTAGTATCTTTACTTTCTAAAAACGTGTGGCTTTCCATTTATGTAAGTGTTCTTTTCAATCCCTCCCTGGCTTGCTCTCTCTTTCTCTCAAAAAGTAAATAAACATAAAAGAAATTGAAAATAGTAATTAAGCAAACATTAGATGCCTTTTTGCAAATCTAGTGACATAAAAAAGTCACTTTTTTTCCTCTCTAGGACCAAAAACTAAACGCTGCAGAACATTCAGCATTCAAAAATATTGTTGACGTATCGTGAAGTTTGAAAATAGTTTCTACTGTAGGAATGCTTTTTAAAGCTAGAAGACGATGATCATTGTTTATATACTAAGAAAAAACTGTCTAAGATCAACTCAGAATTTATTAGTGGTTCTCACTGAGTGAGATACAGGGATATGTGGGGGGGGGGGGGCATGTGGGTGTGTAGGAAGTTGTCCTGCTTTGCCTGGGACAGTCAGTAATTACACCCGCAGGAAGTACCCCTGCGTCCTGGCTCCCTATCTGGTGAGCATTCCTCTCACCCTCAACTTGATTAAAGAACATTTTATTTACTTTTTTTTTTTTTAATGTTTATTTTTGCGAGAGAGAGACAGAGCCACAGCATAAGCAGGGGAGGGGCAGAGAGAGAGGAAGACACAGAATCCGAAGCAGGCTCCAGGCTCCGAGCTGTCAGCCCAGAGCCCGACGCGGGGCTCAAACTCACAAACCACAAGATTATGACCTGAGCTGAAGTCAGATGCTTAACCGACTGAGCCACCCAGGCGCCCCTTGAACTTTTTTAATGTTTATTTTGTTTTTGAGAGACAGAGAGAGACAGAGCATGAACGGGGGAGGGGCAGAGAGAGAGAGGGAGACACAGAATCGGAAGCAGGCTCCAGGCTCTGAGCTGTCAGCACAGAGCCCGACGCGGGGCTCGAACCCACGGACCACAAGATCGTGACCTGGGCCGAAGTCGGACGCTCAACTGACGGAGCCACCCAGGTGCCCCAAAAGAACATTTTATAGGTTCATCCTAGTTCTAAGTAATTTTACCTTATTTAGCTACTTAAAGAAATCTTCTACTGTAAACTTTTGTGACTTCCATAAAGGAGGGAATTTGAAGAGTTCTCTGCTGTGTAAACCCAGAATCTAACACTACAGCCTGCAGGCCAAAAGCGGCTGGCAGCCCATTTTTGTCAGTCAAGTTTTTCGTGCGCACAGCCATGCCTATTTGCGCACCTATCGTCGAGGGCGGTCTCTGTGTTGCCACAGCGGGTTGGGCAGTCACAACAGGGACCGTATGGATCACAAAGCCCTGAGTATTTACCAGCTCATCCTTTTCAGACGTTTTTACCAGAGAAAGTCTCCCACGTAACCAGGGGATGAAACCGATCTTTCTCGGTCTCTGTTTCCTGACCCTGTCAACGCCCGAGATCGGAAGCTCTCAATTTGACCCCAACGCCTTCCAGCTCAAGTCCTCAACTGGTCCTGAAGTCCCCATGCAGCAGAGCGTCCTGGAATCCTCACCCCCGTCCCCTGCTCTCCCAGGGGCTCCTTCCCCTCGTCACGTTGTCGGCACCTACCTCCGTGACGTTGAACGGGGCTCCCCGCAGCCTCACGGTGTGGGGGGTGGTGGGTTCCTTCTGGGTTGCTGGTTTGTCTGCCTGAACGAAGGCAAGAACAGAAAGGGCCACAGTGACTTCCTTGCCACAGCTGCAGGAGGTGGACCTTCCAGACGCCTCGGCAAGGACTCGGAGGCACGTGATTGATGCCAGGGCGAGCCGCGGGATGCTGACAAGCATCACGCCTGCCGTGGAGATGCCGTGTGGCTGGCGTGGAGGTGAGGGCGTGCTAACAGGGGCTCCAGGCCACAAGGAGGGGCAGAGGGCCCGGGATGGAGCCTTGAGGTACCGTGACAGTGGCTACCATTGACTGAGGGCTTGCTCTGTGCCCGACACTGTCCGAGGCACTTTGCAAACGCAGCTGGCCTGCTGAATCTTCAAAACAACCTTAGACGATTATGGGTTCGGGATCTTCTTTATAATGCCCGAACCCAAACTGCCAGGAAAAAAGGTAGGTTTTCTATAATCTCTTTGGCAACAAAACTTGCCCTGACTTGAAGTCACCTGCCAGGACAACCTGCCCTCAGCTGATGCGAGGCAACCTACAGGCGACCCTTACCCTGAGGGCAGGAGTGGTCCTTTGTGGTTTCACTGCAGAAACAGAAGTGTGTGATGACAGACCGGACCCCACTGCGGGTGCCACACCGCCAGGGGGATCTTCCTGATCTCTGAAACTTCCAGGGCCAGCAGGTGCACCGGCACAGGGGTTTGGGAAACCGGACACAGAGGCCATTGCTATGCTGAGTGTCATCTCAGACGAGGAGAAGCACCCTCACCCCGGGTCCCACGGCTACTCTGTGTCGGGGCTGAGATCTGAACCCACAGCTCTAGGAACTCGACATTAGTCCAGAATATACATTTTTAGGAGAAAAGGATGGAATGTGCAATTGGAAGGGGCCGAAAATGAAGGACAGAGAAGGATGAAGAAAGAAAAAGAGAGAGGACACGTGGCACCTTGAAGGGAGCTGGCTGGGGGATAGGGAGGTGAGGGCATGGGGCCCAAACATGACCCACCGGGTCCCTAAGCAGAGAGAACGCCCTGGTGGGGGACAAGGCGGCCGTCCCTGAAGGTCGCACCCACGTTTATAATGTAGACTTCAGAGCCCAGCAGCCCAGCAGTCGTGACCCCACGACTTCCCAGCCATGACCTTGGCCAAGTCGCTTCCCTCCTCTGGGCCTCGGTTTCCTCACCTACAAAATGGGACAGGAATCCCTGCATGCCCCCGCTCCCCAGAAGGCTGTCCTAAGAATCCACGACAAATGACAAAGCCCGCGTTGTACCCAGCATGTAGTAAGCACTCAATTAATCCCATCGGTATTGCCGACTATGGGCTCACACCCGCCTATCCTGCTACAAAACAAAGTATCACCTGCTCCTACCTCTCAACTGGCTCATTCACACCCCTCAGCTCCGGAAGGCAGGTGGCCTCTCCACGTTGCCACAGAAAATAAACTCGGGAGGGGAGAAGTGCTTGCTCTAGGTCGCACGGTGAGCAAGTGGCAGGGCTGAGCCGCAGAGCGATCTTTCCTTTATGATACCCGCCGCCAGCAAAGGGGCCACAGCGAGCATGGGCGAGGACGAGGGCACACGTCCCCTCCCCGTCCTCCCTCTGCCTCCCAAGCGCCCGCGCACGTCCTCACGCACCCACCTCAGCGCCGGCCGCCCCCGGCCTCTTGTCCCTGGACGGCGCGTCCTGCTCCGGGCCAGCCGCGCGCCCCCCTCCATCTTGCCGGACGGCCTCGCTCCCGTCCGCACAGCTGACAGCTTCGTCTTCGCTCCCCTCCTCCTCCGAGGATGACAGCGACTCGGACGTGACCATCTTGGATTTCAGGTAGTCCATGTCGGACAGTTCCTGCTGCACGGCCGCCCTGGGTTCGCGGCCACCCTCCTCTGCGAAAAGCAGGGCGGGCAGTGAGCGGAGCAGTGGCCGGGGCGGCAGAGGGCCACCGGGGGCAGCCCCGGTGGGTCCTCTGACACGTGACGTTAACCGGGGCGAACCGTGGGGAGTTCGGGTATCTCACAGGCCACGGCTGGTCGAGAGCCACGCGACTCCCCGGGCCGGCCCTGCCCTGCCCTCGTCAGTCTGCTCTTTCGACTGCGGCCTGCGGGACTCTTCTGAGAGCACGGACAGGACCGTCGCTCCTGGAGTGGCCTCCAGATGCTCCCGGGACACCCACCCTCTTCCTCGGGCCCACGTGAGCTGCCCGGCTTCTCCCCGGCAGCCACCCCAAACCACGCGGGGTCCCCTCGAGCTCCTGCGCTTCCCTCTGCCCTGTGCCCTGGCCACGCTCCTCCCTCTGCCGGCGACCCCCTTCCCGCGCCTCCCCTGCTCCATCCCAGCAGCTCCCAGTGAGTCGTCTGGACTCCAGTGTTGTCAGAAGCTTTACCAGGCCTGAAATTCACAGGGAAGTCATTCTCCCGCCTCAATGCAAAATTGACGCCGACCCTCGACCACAGCAACTGCCACTCTGGATGGCGACTGCTCCCGCTCGCATCCCCCCCCCCCCCCCGACGTGGCTGTGGGCCCCTGCTGAGGACAGAGGTGCCCTCCCTCACCGCCTTCAGGCCTCCGCTCTACGGTCCCCTCCTCGACAGGCCTTCCCCGGGAGCTCTCCTCCCCCGCTTTCCTGCTTTCTCTCTGTGGCCCCCGCCTTTAGGCACGTCGCCAACACTGAACTTCATCTCCTGTGGTTTCTCTCCCCACCACTGGCATGGGGGCTCCATGCGAGCAGGATTCTTCTGTCTTTTGCTCACTGCTATGTCCTGAATGCCCAGAATTCAGCGGGTGCCCCATAAATATTTGACTGACTGTGACCAGGCCGGGTCAGGGCATCTTGGGTGGGATAACCACCCCCACTTGAGGACAGCGTCTCTCACAGTCGTCTCCTGTGTCTGGCACTGAGGGGCCCAAGGTCACACCCCTGCTGGTCAGGACACACTCAAGGGCACGCGCTCCGGCAGGGAGGGTGCACGCGGATGCCCTTACCTTCCGGGTCCTCCCCAGGCCCCTCCTCGTCACTCTCCTGCCCCGAGTCGGAGTCGAAGTTCAGGTAGTCACTGGCAGGCCTGCCCTTCCCTTTCGAGGGCTCGGCGTCCAGGGCATCGTTCGCCCAAGTGGCTGTCTGCGTCCGCTTCTGATGAACCGACAGGAACTCCCGGAACTCGGCGTCTTTCTTCAGCTGGTGGCACCGGGGCCGGGGACAAAGGGGGACAGGCAGAGAAGGCTCGGCTAGGGCGCACCCGCCTGCCTCCCCGGAGGATGAGGGCATCCGCCGAGCTCACGTCCCTGGCCTCCCGAGGACCCTGGGGGCAGTTGGTGGTACCCTTCACCAGACTAGAGGACTACGGAGCCACAGACACATGGCAAGGAAGACGAGGCCCACCTCTGCCCGCCAGGCTGCCTCACCCCCTCTGAGCCTGCCGCAGCCCGCCCAGCACCACCCAGGGCACCCACGCTCTCGGCCAACGGGACACACTCACCTTCTCCAGCTCACTTGCTACCTTTTTCGTCTTGTCATCCTGCAAAAAGAAGTCGCAGACGGTGAGGGTCACAGATGAGGGGGAAGGGGGGACAGAACGCATTGCCCGGGGAGCACCCGCCTTCAGGAACCACCCGAGGTGGGGTGTCTGGCCATTCCCGCTCCCACCGCCCAGTCCATGCAGGGGCCACCACCTTGCTGACACCGGGGATGCGGGTGGGAGTGACCTTCTACGCACTTTCTTAGGTTCCGTGGAGACGGAGTCTTGGCCTTTTGAGGGATTCTTAGACTGGCTTGTTTTCTGGGCATGCTTGCTCCAGGCCCGGGGCTTTGTCGGGTCCCCAAACGACTTGCAGAACTCCACCTGCGTGGGAGAGAGAGGGTGATGGGGACACTGCCACCTGCCCAGCATGGGCGCTCCCCTTCGGCACCTGGGGAGCCAGGCCTTTTTACAAAGGTGGCTGTCACTTGCTGGCTGAGTGGGCTGAAGCAAATCACAACCGACCCTTGAACCACAACCCCCGAGTTCCTGTCTCCACTCCTGTCCCGATCACCCAGGTCAAAGGTCGCAGCCACTTAACCTTTCCGATGTTCAAAGTGGGGAGGGTGGGGGTTGCTCCCACCTGCAGAGGGCTCAGACTGCCTGGCGCGTGGAACTTGCGGGTAAGTGCAGTGACCGTGGTGACTTTAGCGAGGACGGGCAAAGGCCGGCAGGGACTACAGATGTCCCTGGGATGATACGAGTTGGAACCGTGCGGGTCCGCTTATATGCAGATTTTTTTTTTTTTTTTTTTTGCTAAATACAGTACAGCATCGTGAATGTCTTTTCTCTCATGATTTCCTTAATGTGTTTGGTTTTTTTTAGCTTATTTTATCGTAAGATTACAGCACAGAACACATATAACATGCAAAATACATGTTAACTGTTATCAGTAGGGCTCCTGGTCAACAGTAGGCTATTAGTAGTTAGATTTGGGGGGAGTTGAAAATTCTGCACGGATTTTTAATTGCGCAGGGGGTCGGCTCTGGAGCCCGAGTTCTTAGCCATCCAGCCCCCAGGGTGGCTGACGCAGGGGGTCGAGGCTAAGGTAGTGGCCTCCCGGATCACTGTAACTACCGTGGGGCAAGCTCAGCTGGCCCCAGAGGACAGCTCTGGGGTGACGAGACAGGGGGGCGACCGCTCGGAAGCCCGGAAGTGCTTGGTGTCCAGCCTGAGCTGAGAGCCACGCTTTCTGCCACACTCAGGAGTGCCAGGCGGCCACCTCTGCCCCCTGGGGACAGGCTACCATCCTGCCACACCCCTTTGTAAGGACTTTCAAAATAGTTCTGCTGTTTCTGTAGCAATGACATGTGTTCAATGTATGAAGCTTAAATCAACAGAGGAAAGTACAAGTGGAAAAACAAACAAACAAACAAACAAAAACCCGTTTTTACCCTAACCCTTATCACCCGGAGGGAGAAATTAACGTTTTGGTAAAAATCCTTCCACGTGGCTCTCTTCACATCACACACTTGTAGACTAAAAAATACGATTGTCTGAATGGGATCGCAAGATACACACTTGTCCAACATCTGGTTTTCTCTTCTCACCAGAGCGTTAAGGATGTTTTACCAACTCATTAGATGTACATGAGTGACACGGGCAGGACCTCCTCCTCCAGGAAGCTCTCCTGACCCCTTCCCAGGCCAGGACCCGGGCCCCCTGGCGCTTCCCCATCACAGCGCTGACAACACGGACTGAAAGCGGCCTATTTACCCATGAGGACGGGGCCAGGGGCACGATGTTTCTCTAAACCCCCAGCATCGGGTGGGCGCTCCCCGCCCCCACGCTGAGTCCCACCCCGCCCCCACGCTGAGTCGGAAACTGCGGAGAAAGCTCTCCAGGGGAATCGTACGCAGGAAGTTTGAGCACCGGTGAGGTGGACCGGGGCAGCATGGTCTGGAAGCAGCCAGGCTCCGGACAGGAGCGGAGAGGGGAAGGTCAAGTGGGGTCAGGTTCAACGGGCAGGCGGAAGTGGACTCACCACGATCCGGGATGTGTCGATAAAACTCCTGTTGAAATGGTTCAGTGCCGATCGGGCCTCTTCCTCCGACTTGAAGCCGATGAAGCCAAACTTACGGAACTTGCCGTCTTTGGTGAACTTCAGGCTGCAGTCGGTCAGGGCGCCAAAGGAGGCAAAGAGCTGCCTGAAACGCTCCTCTTTCATCTGGGACGGAAGGGGCGCAGTGAGGGAGGAGCAGGGGAGTCCTCAGAGCCAAGGGGGCAAAACCGGGCTGGAAACCCCGAGGCCCTGGGATTCCCTGTTAGGATAAGGAGAGCGAACACATCGGGAGGTCAGCCCTGTGGCCACTCCACAGCCAACACCTGATAAAGACCTGTCAGGATAAACGCGTGAACAAATGAACGTGGTAGGTTACATGTGTTTGCTCATTGTGGTGGAGGGTAGATGTCCACATCCTAATCCCTGGGCCCCGTGAGGATATGACTGTTGATGGCAAAGGCATTTCACAGATGTGATTACATTAAGGATCCCGAGATGGGGAAGTTCTCCTGGATTATCCGGGTGGATCTGAGGTCCATGTTCCACTATACGAGAGAGACAGGAGGGTCAGGGCCGGAAAAGGTGATGGGATGTTGGAGACAGAAAGAGACTGCACGATGCCATGCTGTTGGCTTTGACCATTCAGGAGGTGGCCAGAGGCCCAGGAGAGCAGGCAGCCTGGAGAAGCTTAAAAAAGGCAAGGAAACAGATTCTCCCCGGGAGTCTCCAAAAGGAACGCGGCCCTACCAACGCCTTGATTTTAGGATTTCAGCACTGGGGTGGCTCGGCCGGTTAGGTGTCCGACTTTGGCTCAGGCCATGATCTCACGGTTCATGGGTTCGAGCCTCAGGACAGGCTCTGCACTGGTGGTGTGGAGCCTGCTTGGGATTCTCTCCCTCTCTCTTCCTCTTTCTGTGCCTCCCCCCCACATGCACCCGCTCTCTCAAAACTAATAATAAGATTTAAAAGAAAAAACAAGGTTCTCTGCCCTCCAAAACTGTAAGATTACCAATGTGTATTGTCTAAGCCACTTCGTTTGTGGCAATTTCTTGTAATAGCAATAGAAAACTAATTCATTAATGTTCTTAGGATTTGGTCACGGGGCCCACAGTATGGAAACTGGCTCCTGGCCCCCATCCTCACTCCAGCCAGGCTACCCATCCAATTCAGTGAGTTTTTTATTTTATTTATTTATTTATTTATTTTTTAAATGATTATTTATTTTTGACAGAGAGAGAGACAAAGCATGAGCAGGGGAGGGGCAGAGAGAGAGGGAGGCAGAATCTGAAGCAGGCTCCAGGCTCTGAGCTGTCACCACAGAGCCCGACGCGGGGCTCGAACCCGCAGACCGCGAGATCATAACCTGAGCTGAAGTCGGACGCTTAACCGACTGAGCCACCCAGGCGCCCCACAGTGAGTTTTTTTAAGCAGTGACTGGGAGAACTGTGTGTATGTAGTACTGGGGACACCAAAAACCCCCCAAAATAGCCAACACAAGGTCTAAAATTAAAAACACTGGAGACCTTGGCAGCCCAGTAGGAAGGGAAAACACATTTTCTGAGGCAGGTTCTTAATAACTCTGTAATCATTAAAATCTCGTATCACCCTATGAGTTAGGGATCATTATCCACGTTTTTAGAGAGGAGAAAACGAAGCTCGTGGAGGACCAATGGTCTACCCAAGATCTACAGGCTCGAGGTCTGTGACTCAGCTCAGGTACATAAAAGGCAGTGAAATTCATCACCCCCACTACCTGGGAAGAGCCACGCGCAAGTCTGACCCCACCATTCCTCTGTCCAAAACCTCTTGGCGACTTTCGGACGCCAAAGGCTCATGGAGAAGCCGCTAAGGTAAAACACGAGATTCTCCACGACCCGGCCTGACCCACCCCTGCAGTACCACCTCTTGCCAAACTTCTCGAAGCCCTCCCCGACTCCCACCTCTGAGGTTTTACTGGTCGTTTCCTGTGGGTGCAATCTTCCCAAAAGGCCCCGGCTAACCCCTCATTCTCAATTCAGTCATCTCCCCCAGGAGGCCTCTCCTCGACTCCTCAGGTGGGTCAGGTAACCAAGCCGCCTGTGCTCACACAGCACGGGGTCCTACTTCGATCCTTGACCTTATGTCACAGTGATTTGGCTCCGATCTCCTCTGCTAGACTGCTCGTGCTCTAAGGGAGGGGAGGAGGGGGGACTGAATTTTATCTCCCACTATCTACAATATCAGCAACATAACAAGTACTCACTACTAAATATGTGTTGGGAAAGAGTTAAGAAAAGTGTATGCTATCGTGCAAAGAGAGACAGTACGGTGAAGGGGTCAGGAACGCACATTTCTAGAAGCAGACTGCTCAATTCAATCCCTGCTCTTTGAATTACCAGCTGTGTGCGACCTCAGGGAAATCACTCTCCTTTGCTGTAGTTCGGTCGCTTCACCTTTAAAATGGGCGTAATCATGGAAGCTACCTTGTAGGGTTCTGCTGAGGAATAAATGAGTTACTTAACCGAAAGCCACTGGTGCAGTGCCTGGGACGCAGTGAGCTCTCAAAACGTCAGCTACTACTACCATTGGTTTTCGTGAATTCTTTCATTCATCAGACAAGACAAGCAAGGGTAAGAGAGTCAGTCCAACGAGAGAAGAAGCCCAATGAGACGGAAGTTGGGAGAGTAGCTATGCTAAAGTCCTCATCCATCAACGTGAGGCACTAAGAGACACTGCCTAAAGCAGATGGATGGATCAAGATGTATTCTGAAGGTTTACTCCTTAGGGTAAACAATGGAAGAATTAAAAATAATATAATAATAATATAACATCTGTTAGGGAGAAACAGATGATCAAAATTCCTCATCTTGCTTAGGGGAGGGTCAGCAGATAGTCACTGAGGTAAACAGACCACGAAATGGAGGAGAGAGCACGCTATTTAGACATGAAGAAACACCAGTGAGGAGTCCTAAAAACAAACCACTGAAGATGATTCCTCCTGGACAGAAAGACAGAGGCAGGGTGGAGCAAAAGATTTTGCTTCTCATTTCATACACCATTGCGCTGTTTGAAATTTTTTTTTTTTTGTAGTGTTTGAATTCTTAAAATCCTGTCATAGGTCCCCCACAACCGCTGGGGGGGGGGGGGAGTTACACACACACAATAAAGCCGAAATGGCTTTGTGTTGTCACTCCTAAGGAGAGAACCTCCTGAGGAATTAGAGTTAAGAGTCCAGAAGACATCTCATCCCATCCAAAGGGCACATTTTGTATCTTGGGAACGAGCTTACTAGCCACACCAGTGGTGGGGGGGGCTCTTCATCCCAACAAAAGTTATAGCAAAATAGGTAAGGATGAACCCCTGGGGCACGCTGCCTCCAGGCATCTGACACCACCTACTTCCCGGCTATTTCTTCACTCATTCGTTCCACCTGTTTTTACTGAATGTCTACCACGTGCCAGGTTCTGTGCTGGGCTCTTGAAACAGTGACAAGTGTGACTGGCTCACCCCTCTCTAATTATTGGATAAACGGTTTAAAGCCCTTCACACGCACTCAGTCTCCTTAAATTATGCCCACTGGCCCTAAAGTTGGGAGTCAGGATTGTAACGCAGGTCCTCAACCTAATACTCCCCATTTGCCTCTCCAACAGTTTCCCGAGTGGGAGATGAATACCAGTGCAGGGTCCGAGCCAGTCACAAGTCAACAAAAAAACGTGATCGGACCAGAGGGGTTGTGGAAGAGAGCATTCAGCCCACGTGGGGTGTTGGCATCTCCGCCGGAAAAGTTGTCGGGATGGAAGTCAAGTACCCTCCGACCGGCTGTGGAACCTTGAGCGCTCGCTGTCCCCCTCTCCCAACTGTCAAATGGGGGATTTGCCACCGATCCTGCCCTTTTGGGTTTCGAATACGTCCTGAGTCCTGCCCCAGGGCCGAAGCCCCTCAATTCTCCCCAGCCACCTCCTTCCTAGCCCCCAACTGGCTGCTCCCAATTTCAGATTCTCAAGTCCAGGCCCCGCACTCACCCCATTCGGGAGGTTCTTCACGATCAGTCGCGACATGGCGCACGGTCCCCACTGGGTTGCGATGCCAGCGCAGGTGGACAGCGTCTTTCACCAACAACTTTCACGCTCCCGCTCTGGGAGCCGCCATCTTTGGCGAGCCGGAACAAGATCACGTGTTTCAGACGTAAGCCCGCCCTCTCCGGAAGCAGGCGAGGCCGAACCGGAGCGACCCAAGGAAGTCACACCCCTCAAGGGGGCGGGCCTGAGCGCTTGCATTCTGCGCATGCGCAGGCTGTTTTCGCCCGTAGAAACCCTTGGCCCCGCAGGCGCCCGGGGGCGCTGGTTGGCTGGGGTCTGCGTGTGGCGAGTTGGGCGCTTGAGTGCTGGGGAACACTCGGAGGTCGTTTTAGTCCCCTTCTGTATTTTCTTTTATTATTGAATCCTAAAACAGCCCGAAGAAGGGGAGGGGGGCGGTAAGGATTAGGGATGCTTGCCTCCCATTCAGAGATAAGGAAACTGAGGTTCAGAAAGGCTGCCAGACACCATGAATCTATGAGAGCGTCCCTTGTAAGTATTAGAACGTGTCCATTGGAAATAAACATGTCTGTTTTGCGGGCGAGTCCGCTGGGAACCAGATTAAGGCAGCTTGCTCAAAGTCACAGAGCTGTGACATATTAAGTAGTATTAAGTAGTCTTAAGAGCTAGGATTTTGAGGTTCGTTGGTTTCCTACAGGTGCTGTAACATTACCAGAAACGTGGTGACTTAACAGAAATGTATCCCTTCACAGTTCTGGAGGCAGGAGACCCCAAATCAAGGTGTGGGCAGGGCTGCACCCTCCTGGTAGTCTCTAGGGGAATATCCTTCCTTGCCTGGTCCAGCTCCCGGTGGCCCCAGGTGGCCCGTGACTTGTGACGGCATCCCTCCAGTCTCTGCCTCCTGTGGACAGTGCCTTCTCCCCTGTGCATCTGTGTCAAATCCACTCCCCTCTCCTTTCTCTTACTGGGCTTAGAGCCCATCTCAAATCCAGGATGATCTCACGTCAAGATCCTTAACTTTCTATCTGCAAGGACCCTCTTCCAACTAAGGTCACATTGGTAGGTTCCAGAGTGCAGGGCATGGGAGTGTATCTCTTTGGGGGACACTATTCAACCCCCTTCATGAGGATTTATTTGCTTTGTGTAGAGGGTTACTTGGAAGGTCGAATTTCGCCCTCTCCGCCTCTTGTAGTCCCTTGCGAGGAAAGCACACATACACATGTAAAAATGTACCCTCACACACGCCTAGAGTGGATGATTTAAGGGGTCACTTTATTCAGCAGATATTTATTGATATTCGTGAAAATGCTCTTTAATTAAATGACAATTAGGGGGCTGTTTTCTGCACACAGAGACCCTGGTCAGGAGGGGCTGAAGCAGGCTTTATAAGGCAGCTCCAGGATATTAGCCTTTTATGAGAGGGCAAGTGGGGGTTGCCCCACCAGTCCTGGCTTCGTGTACTTTTATTTTATTATTTTCATGAACTGCCTTTATTAAAATGTGCGACTAAACGTAGCCTTCCCTAAAGAAATTCACAAATCAGAAGGTCTTTCAAAGGTATTAAAAGAAATCGAATGCTCTTTGCCAATCTGTGTGTCCCAATGCTGGGCCAGGAAAATATGGTCGCCACATGTCCGGGACGGAGGGACTGCTCCTGGGTTGTATTGCATATCCCCGTGCATTTAATAAACAGCCACGTTGTAACATTATTATTAATCTTCCTGTTCTTCTTTGCCAGGTTGTCTCTTGCCTCCTTTTCTCTCCCAGCAAATATAATCTGGGGGCACCTGGGCCCCACCAGACCGGCCTCTCCGATCACACTCAAGGATTAACAATCAGGTAGGTCTAAGCCGGCTCTACCCGAAGCTGCCATCATGAGTGCGCTGGGGACTGTGGGAAGTCGTGTCTGGATCGTGAGGGAGTTACCTGCCCAGGGGGAAAAGGCTGCGGGAAGGACTTGGAAGGGTTTCGCAGAGGCAGGATAGAGAGAGGACAGGAGATTGGAGTCTTGATTTCCTCCACATGAAGAGTCTAATTATGGGAAGACATCAGATAAACCCCAAGTGGGGGACATCCAAAAAAAAAAAAAAAAAATCCCTGATCAGGACTCCTCAAAATTGTCAAGAAGTCTGAGAAACTGTCCCAGCCAGGAGGAGCCTGAGGAGACAGGACAACTAAATGTAACATGGGATCCTGGGACAGAGAAAGAGAAAGGCTGAGGACATCCAAACAAAGCATGCCCTTTAGCTAATAATACTGTATCGATTTTGGTTCCATTGTGACAAATGGACCATGGGGATGCTAACCCGCAGGGGAACCTGGGTGCAGAGTGTGTAGGAACTCTAATAGTCTCACAACTTTTCTGTAAATCTAAACATGATTCTAAAATAAAGAGTTCATTAAATCTTTTTTAAGGATATTTTGAAAATTAAAGGGATTTGAGAGGTCGGTATTTATAGATGTGGAATAATCGCTAAGGTGTGTTAGAAAGGGCAAAAAGCAAGGTGCAGAAGAGAGAACTCTCTCTGCCCCTGCTTGCCTGATACTAACCTGCCCCACCATGAGAAGTCCGACCTTTGGAAAGGGCTTCTATCCAGTGAAATAACAACGGATGCCTCAAATGCCTTCAGGCATGATCCTTTCTACTTAAGATGTCTCAACCCCCTTCCCAGGGGCCCTGCGAAACCCACCTTCCTTCCCAAAACGTCTTTTGGTAAATGACTTAGATTTTTAAGGATACATCCAGCAACCATCACTCCCGTTCCCCCATCCAATCTGTTCTCCTTCCTACAGCAAACCACTGTCCAAAGTTCTCATCCATCTGTCTCTCCAGGGACAGCCAAGCTTGTGGTTGTCGCAACAGGAAAGTAGCCACATCAGTGGATGTGTGTGTGGCTGTGTTCCAATAAAACTTTATTGATGGACGCTGCCATTTGAATTTCCTATCGGTTTCATGGGTCCCCAAATGGTACTCGTCTTTTGATTTTTTTTTTTTTCAACCACTTAAAAATGGGAAAACCATTCTTGGCTGTGAGGTCATAGAGAAATGGGTGGCTGACCCAATTTGGCCCAGAACATAGTTTGCTGACCTGTATGTAGAAGCAACATGGGTAGAGAGCCTTTTCCTTTGAGCACCTCGCTTTTAGCCCTTTCTAATACACCTTAGCGATTATTCCACATCTATAAATACCGACCTCTCAAATCCTTTTAATTTTCAAAATATCCTTTAAAAAAATTTAATAAACTCTTAATTTTTGGGTCATTTTAGATTGACAGAAAAGTTGTGAGAATATTAAGAGTTCCCACTCACCCTGCACCCGGGTTCCCCTGCGGTTCACGTGGGCGTTCGCGTAGGCGTGTGCATTTGTCACAATCGAACGGATATGGCTACATTATTATTAACTCAACTCCGTGCTTTATTTGAATGCCCTCAGTTTTTTCCCCCGCGGAGGTTCTCATTTCTGTTCCAAGCGTTCCTCTGTTTCTTCTAACAGCAGCTTTTCTGGGGATCCTGACGCCTAGTAGTCTAATGCAGCCCAGCAAATATCTGAGTGACTCCCGTGCAGGCACTGGGGCTACAGCCGTTAACAAGACAAGCGTCGTCCCTGTGCTCATGGGGGATCCCACATGAGACAACGAATTCCAAGTGCAGTGAGCATTCTGAGAATTAGGGTGTGGTTCCCCAGGGGACTTGATTGAGGCTGGGGCTTCTAAGAATCCCGGCTGGCCACATACTGGCTAGGTGGCCCCCAGCAAAGTGCTGATCCCTGAGCCTGTTGTCTTTTCTATAAAATTGCGTAATGGCTGTCAACACCCACGTGTCCTCACCGGGCTCACTGAGGATTAACATTCAGCCCACTTGACTTACCTCTCTCCGTATATTATCGTTATTACAAAACTAGTTGTACTCATCATGGCCCTTCACGCTGAGACTCTTCCCCCCAGATCCAGTCCATAACCACAGTGCAGTCATCAAATTCAGGAATGTTTGGCATTGATATAATACTTTTTTTTCTAACACCGCGTATTCAAATTTCAGCCAGCGTCTCAACCACCATTTTGTCCCCTGGTCCGTGATTCAGCCCAAGATTACACGTGGCAATCCCTTGTCACGTCTCTTTAGCCTCCTTTAATCTGCCAAGATTTCACCAGTGTTTCTTCCCCTGTCGTTCCCCTGATGGTTCCGAAGGCTGCAGGCCAGTCATGTTATACACTGTCCCTCAGGGGAGGTCCAGCTGGCATTTCCCCACGACTGAATTGGGGCTATGCTGTCAATCTGTCGCAAAGCGGGCGATGGGAACGCTCGTCAGCAGGGTAAGGGCCGTCTGCCAGGCTCCTCTTCCGTAAAGGTTTTCCCTTTGTCATCTGTAAATCACCCATGGGGTTTCTAGAAAATTTGACGGTATTTACAAAGGCTTAGCGGCAGTCGATTTTAGTTTGTATAGGGTTACACAAGTCCCGGACGACTGCCTTTCTATCCATTGACACACAGGGAAACTGAGGCCCCCAAAGGAAACACTAGCTCAAGATCACAGGGTAGAAACCAAGGTCAGGTTCAAGCTGGGCTCCTCTGGCCCCTTCTCACCTGTGGCCATTCTCTGTAAGGGCGGCAAGGGAGGTGCTGGAGACCGCTACCCTGTATGTCACCACCTGACAGTTTCAGTGTGGCCCTGGCCATTCACTGCCCATCACCCAGAATCCCCTTCCCCAGAAAAGCAGCCCCCTATTCCCAGGAACCTGCAGAGGAACCTTGATGGATGCAGGAGGCCATGGTAACCTGAGACAGGAGACCAGGTGTGAGCCACACCTGTGTGGACATCGGGTAGCTCACCTGTGACCGATGGCAGCTGAGGACCCCCCCCCCATCCCCCTGCCTCTTGGCCCTGCTGGGAGCCCAACATTGGAGATGTGGGGGGCCCTTCTTGCCCTTGGCGGTGAACCGTAAAGATTCACCTGGAGGCACATGGAAATCACAAATCATTCCTCACACAGACTGTGGCTGGGGGGAAACTGAACCCATTCTAAGAAGATATGCCCACGGGGGTCTTATCCCAGGCTCTGGTGCCTCCAAATTCCAGTGCCTGTTGAACCTGGCCTGGAGGCCTGAGACAGGATGATCTGAGGGCAAGACCAGAATCGTTGTCCTT